CTAGAAGTAAAATGAGTGTTCAGTGTTCATTAAGTACCTAAAATATTGGGGTTTTTTTCCCAGCAACATGATTAGGCTATTATTTTTATAGTCTGATAATGATTAAATAGTTTTTCACTGCTTCCCTAGAAGGTGTCTATCCTTTTCTTGTTTTACTGGCAAGCATGTTTCCTATTCTAATTGGTAGCTGATAACTTAAGATAAAAATGAGCTGCCCTTGGTGTTGCAGAGTTCCCCTTTTTTTTCTACAAAATTTTTCATTCCAATTTTGTCTGTGCCATACACTCCATTTGGTGGTTTTTCCTATGTGTGTGTGTGTGTTCTTGTGCACAGACATATATTGTGAAGTGTATTACTGTAAGCTTACTTATATGGAGATACTGCCTGGAATAGTTCTGCCTTGCAGACTAGATCAGTACAGGAATTTGTTCTAGAATATGGTGTTTTAAATTCATACCTAAACTTGTTTGTCACTCACTTCCTTTCTAGGCCATTTGATTTAACACTATTACATTGTTAAGTAAACTCAGAGTAACGTTACCTTCTGTTTGTTTCCTTGTATTCCGTATTTAGTTTCACTGTAGTGGAAGCCAGTAGCAACCACTTAAAAGTTGACACACGTGGTTGTTTTGGGGATTTTTAAATGGCTTTCTGAGGCAGTGTAACTTTGTAGTGTGAAGAAGGCCTTGAGAGAACTGTGTGCCAGAAGAGGAAATCATGTCTTGAGACTTTTATTTACGTCCTGCTGTAGTATAATGCTTGAGAAGAGAAAGCTTTCCAAGCTTATAAATAACAGAAATAAAATGTGGGCAGTAGGGTATAGCTGTAACTGAAGGAAGACCTCACCATTGCAACGGGTGACTTGACTGTCTGTAGTCATGTGCAAGTTGTGAAGGAATGGAAGAAAGGAACAGAGGACCCAGGTATTCCAGCATCTCATTTATTTTCAATTCATCACATGGGACAAATGTTTTTGCCAAGTACCAAGAAATGATCATACAATTCAGTACCAGATGGAATGGCTGGGTTCTCTTCCAGTTTACTGCAAGATGACATCTATCATCTGATGTATAAGATTTGTATTTTAATTCAGGTAGATAGTGAGGCTTGATTACCTCTGCATATAATTTGCGTTTCTATAAAAGGCTTAGCTTTTATATTTTTAACTGCATTTGCAGAAGACTCTTTAGGTTAAAATAACAAACATTCAGCAGTTATGTCAGAAAAGGAAACTGCAAATTTGTGGGCAGCCACGCATTATAAATCTTGCTCCCAAACGAGAGTTACGGACAACTTAAAGTTGGATATCATTAGAGTTCCTTTTCTTTTAAAACAGAGTTCTCCTAGGTCTGCCTTTTATGGACTGAAGAGTAACTGAGCCCTGAGAAAGTGCAAAGTCTGGGAATATTCTTTTGGTATCAGGAATGTGAAGTGGTGGTTTGGGGTTTGTTTTGTTTTTTAGAGGGTGCTCAAAATAACCACTGGAAAGTTGGTTGCATAATAATTGCATAGCATTCAAACATAATAATTTTTGTTTGTGTATAGAGAGCTAGTTAATATATTTTCTTATTTTCTTGTTCTTGTTGAGTTTTGTAGTGCTTTTAAAGCAATATAGAATCATAGAACGATTTGGGTTGGAAAGGACCCTGTAGGTCAGCTAATTCTAACCCACTTGCCCTGGGCAGGGACTCTTCCCATTAGATGAGGTTGCTCAAGGCCTAATCCAGCCTGGCTTTCAACACTGCCAGGGTTGGGGCATCTGCAACCTCCCTGGGCAACCTGTTCCAGTAATTCACCATCCTCGTAGTAAAGAATTTCTTCCAATACCTAACCTAAATTTCCCTTCTTTCAGTTGGTACCCACTACTCCCTGTCCGGTCACCACAGTTCTTGATGAAGGATCCCCCTCTGGCTTCCCTGTAGTCCCCTTCAGATAGTGGATAGTTGCTATGAGGTCTCATGCAAACTTCTCTCCTGTAGGTTGAACATTCCTAACTTTCTCAGCCTGTCTTCATAGTGAGGTGCTCCAGTCGTCTTACCAACTTGATGGCCCTCCTCTGGCCTTGCTCCAATAGTTCCATGTCCTTCTTATGTCCACCTGATTGCTTTGCATACCTGAAGGCAATAAATTAAAAAGATTGGAGAAGGTTGTGTTTCACATGTTTTTGACTTTCCCAAGATTGCCAGGGAGCAAATAGATAAAACCGTTAAGCAGAAATGGATCAAAGTATGTGAAGTAATGTGTGCTTGGCAGTCTGTTTTGCTGAGCTATTCTATTCCTCCCTTGGGATTCTCTTAAGTTTCAGTGGGTGGTTTAAGTAGTATGTAATCCAACTGATCACATAATAATTTAAAATATAAAACCAAAAATGTCCACCAGCAATTTATTCCTTTGACAAGTAAAATATTTCTTTCAGACTCTAAAGTTTCAGCTGGTAATCAATGATGGTAGCAATTTCTCCTGAAAAGACAGAGAAGTTCAGATTATTAGGTGGAGTACTCAGCATGCCTGTGTGCACACACACATTTAAAATTTTGGCTGTCTTAAAATGGAAATAGCCACCTAAACTTAGAGGACATCTTGGATTTGTCTTGGGTCTTCTAAAACTATTCTTAAAACTATATTCTTCACATTGAAGTATCTTTTTTCACTCCCTGATTTTAAAAGTTGTCAGCATGTTCTGTGCATTATTCCAAATCATGTGCTGGAGTTGTTTAATATATACGGACTCTCATACACACTCAGGATTTCTTATGTGCAGCTCATTTCCAACTTGGTAATCTTTTGAAGAATTGTCAGTCTGGGAGAAGCATGTGTTGGAATATGCTGACCTGGGTGGACAATTGATTTGCATTTATATACAGTACTGAAATGATCAGATGCAAAAGGGTACATTCAGCACTAATTCATGCACATAAATTTTGCAAAAATGCTTGAAAAGCTTACAAATTAGTGCTTCAGAAACACAGTTTTAGAACTTGGCCTCTACTAACCTATCACTATAACTAATTAGTGCACATTTTGGTGCATATAGATGAAGAGAGACTGGAGCAAGGAAGACATATTCTTAGAGGAAAATCATAGAATATCCTGTGGTGGAAGGGACTCATCAAGATCGTTGAGGTCCAGCTCCTGGTCTTGCACAGCACCATCACCAGGAGTGCCCAAGAGCATTTGTCCAAATGCTTCTTGAACTCTGTCAGGCTTGGTGCTGTGACCACGTCCCTGGGGAGCCTGTTCCAGGGCCCAGCCACCCTCTGGATGAAGAACCATGTGGTAATATTCAACCTAAACCTTCTCTGACACAACTTCAGGCCATTCCCTCAGGTTCGGCCGCTGGATAGGTTAGAGAACACTTAAGCAAACAGAGTGTATCTAAGTCTGTGGGCCCTGGTGGGATGCACATGAGTGCTGAGGCACCTGGCAGCTGTCATTGTGGGGCCACTGTTGATTATTTTCTAATTGCCACGATGACCAGGAGAGGTGACTGAGGACTGAAGGAAAGTGAATGTCAACTCCTGTCTTCAAAAATGGCAAGAAGGAGGATCCAGGGAGCTACAGGTTGGTCAGCCAGGCCTTAATCCATAGGGAAATCATGGAGAAACTAAGCATTCCTGTATACATGGAGGACAAAAAGGTAACTGGGGTTTTTCAGCATGGATTCACAATGGTGAAATGGCATTTGACCAGCCTGAAGGGAGGGTGCAAAGCTTTTTTTCAGTGCTCCCCAGTGGTAGGACCAGAGGCAGTGGATAAAAAGGGAAATACAGGACTTTCTGTCTGAACATCAGGAAACACTTTTTCACTGTCAGGCTGGCTGAGCCCTGGCACAGGCTGCACAGGGAGGTTGTCACCATCCATGGAGATATTCAGGTCCTGGGCAGCTGGCTCTGGGTGGTCCTGCGTGAGAAGAGGGTATATGGTTAGACAGGATGATCTCCAGAGGTCCCTTTCAATGTCAACCAGTCTGTAATTCTATGAAAGGGGTCTAAGAGTTGCTCAATAAATAGATGAAAAGTATTCTCAGATTTATTTTATTCACTATAACCCATAGAAGAAATAGAAAGAGAATGAACAAGAAGGTAAAAGTGTAGATATATATTGCTTTCAGTTTGTTAGCTGTCAGTTGTGTGTTAAATTACACACAACTGGATTGCATGTAATGACTAGCTAGATCTTCAGATGACATTAACAAGAATGCAGGTTTTTTCTTACTTGATGATAAGTTCTGAAATTCCTTCCTTGTGTGGCAAGGAGTGTCACTTTTCAGGGGATTTTGAAATTCAGTGCAGAAAATAGTGAATTAAGTGCAGAGCACAGGAAGATAAGATTCACTGCTGCTTAAAGCTTTCTGGTGACCAGCTTCTCACAGAAGGGGAAAGGATGAAGACTGGGCAGCTTTTATAGGATAGACTCCCCATGAGAAGAAAGGCAGAATACTTTCTTCAACAGAATTTTGTCAGTGGCAGGTGGAGCCTGCTGCTGAAGTGGGAGTGGAGAGTGTTGCTTTGTGTGGAAATGTCTTGAGTCGCACAGCCTTAAAAGGTGAGCACTGGCATTGCTGCAGCATGGTGGTCCTCATTCAAGTGTTAAAAAGGAGGGCTTTCCAAAATCATCTGGGCCATTTGGTACATTCTAGGTGTGCTTTAAGATTGCTAAATTCTTAAGAAGATTGGTTTCCATTAATTGTTTGTGAATCTGGAACAGAAATACGAACCAAATAATATGGGCCTAAGAGGAAAAGCTTGGGAATTGCTGACTTCTGTCAGCTCTGTTATTGTCTGGATCCTGGGGTATCTCTAAAAGTTTAAGCTACATTGTTACTGAACTAGTGCTGTCTGTCTTAATTATGCAAATAGCATTGCTAAATGGTTTTTCCCTGTACTTCACATCATCTAGTTCGTTGGGTTCAGTGGCACTGTTATTTTTCAACATATTGTGGATTTGTAAATATTTGTAAACCATTAATCTAAATTTATTCCTCTGGTTTCCTCTGCCAGGAAGAAGGAAGTATCAAAGAAATTGCAATAACTCACCATGTAAAGGAAGGACATGAGAAAGCAGATCCTTCACAGTTTGAACTTCTGAAAGTACTAGGACAAGGATCCTTTGGAAAGGTTGGTAACTGAACTCTTGTGGAGCCAATTATTCAGGAATATAGCATTGAATATTGGCTGTGAAATATTTAGAACAGTCATGGTTTTGCATTAAGGCAATGTTGCAAGTGAAAACTGCTTTCTAAATTAGTGCTAATTAGACACTGTAATTGTGGCAGATCTTTTTAAAGCAGTATTTTTTTTGTGGTAACATGATACGTGGATTTCAAAGTTCAGTAGAAAAAATGGCTTGATACAAAATAATTGGGTGTTTACTATTGAGATGGAATGTCATTCTTCTGTAACTACTCTTCTCCTTTTGAGAGGGTGAGGGTTGAAATGTTTTTTTGATAAGTATTCCTTGTTGCTTGCTAATTAAGGACATCACCAGTACAGAATCTGGTTTTTGTAGCATGTTGCTATTGTCACGAACAAATTTTAGGCAATAATGGCTACTGAAGTAAATGTGATACACCCCAGTCATGTTCATTATCTGTTGTAATTTGGTTATGGTGCAGTGTATCTTGATATTTATCTGAACATCTGTTAAAGACTCAATGTTTGTAGCATTACATGAGTACTGAGATCTCACTAGGCTTAAATTTTTTATACTTTTAATTGTCCAAATCCAACTTGAAAGTGAAACGTTAAGTTCACGTGACAAGACAGACCACCAAAACTGAATGGAGTATGTAAGGCAGAACAGGAGAGCCTTTACATCCATTTTCAGCCTTAATTGCAGTTCTGAATGTGATGTTAAGCTCTAGCATGTAAAAAAACCGCCTTAGATATGGTGGGAAATTAGAAAAATAGTTCCCTTTTGGTGGTAGTAAGTTACTGTTAGTCACCTTATTATACCAGTTAAGTTTGGAAATCTAGGTGCCTAGAAGCTATAAAATTTTGTACTCCTACTAGTAAGAATTCACTGGGAAACATGATTCCAAAGGTTAGATTTAATCCAGAATCATAACCAAGTTTTTATTTGGAAATCTTCAGATCACGAGAAGTAAATCATTGAAGGGCAAGGAAAAGTAAGCTAATAAATGATCATTTCAGCAATCACTTCTATTGATAATACTAAATTCAGTACTTTAATGGGAGGGAGAAGGGGGAATGTGAGTTTTTAAAAAGCAAAAAATAATAAACTGTCTAGCTGACTCAAATTTCTGCAGAAATGCCAGTCTTATCCTCAGTTGTCTTAGCCTTTATGCAAAAAAATCATTAATATTTTTTAAAAATCCATAAATAATTTTGTTCTACTAATTTGTCATGTCGGTGTTCCCCATTCAGTTTAGAAAAAGGAAATCTGCATGCTTTTCAAGGTCTCTTGATGATGATCTGGTAGTCTCTGGATAATGCAAGGAATGTTAACATAAGTGAGAACTGGGCACAAAAGCAAACACCAAACTGATTTCACACATGTTTAACTTCCTCATGTACCACAACACGTCTCTATACATGTCCATAGTCAAAAAACCTGTGACAGTTGGTTTTGATGGTTTTCTTTTGTTTTTTTTTTTTTCATTCCTAAATCTAAAATTTGTCTCTACTGGAACTAATTTCGTGTTAAGGGTATTGAAAGCAACACCAGTCAAGAAATACCATGATACTGAAGAAGGAAATGAAACACCCTTTAATTGAGGCTAGTTGTTCTATATTGGTGCATGCAACACTAGGATATTTTTTTAATTTATTTATATATTGATTTATATGGGCTTCTGGATCAAATTTTGTTCACATATTTATGGTCATATCTGAAAATTATTTTATTAGCACATTTCCTGTGTCATCCTATGAATTTTAATAAGATAAAACTAGAGATTAATTTTAAAAAGCTGATTTTGTGTGTCAAATTTGGAAGAACTTCTGAGAGAATCCAGTATTTTTTTTCACTCACTGAAATTACTTAAATTAGACCAAAATTAATTTGGCAGAGTGTTCTCGGAATGAACTTAATGAAACTTTTAGATTATGAAAGGAGGTTTGGCTTTGCAGAATCTAAAACTCTCAAATGGAGTTTCATTGAAATTCTAGTGACTACTTGAATTTCATTGCAAAATACATTAATCTGACTTGCTTTTATTTTCTTTTAAGAATTCCTTCTAATTTTTAATGCAGGTCTTCCTTGTCAAAAAAATCTCAGGATCAGATGCTAGGCAGCTTTATGCAATGAAGGTATTGAAAAAGGCCACCTTGAAAGGTAAGCATTGTTTAGAACAAGGTAAGAGAAATAAAAAAGGTAACTCAGGGACATTGTACCAAAACCTAATCTTTCCACAGCTCTGCTCTATAGATTGTGTTTTACAGCTTTCTTCGCTGAAACGGGAAATAGCAGAATACACTGCTTTGTTTTGTAAACCTGGAAGGATTAAGGATTAACAATACCATGTTGGTAGTTAGAGAGGATAGCAGGCTCCTTCCTATGCCGCTTTCCTTAGGTGATGGTGGGTTAATGGAGTGGTTGTGTTACATCTGCCACCTGACTTGCTCCTGAGCTGTTATTTGAAACTTAATATCCTTCCGTTTTTCCTTTGCTGTGTGTCACCAAGGATACAGTTAATGCCTTTTGCTCAGTTTATAATTAGGTCATGATATTTAAAAGCACTTTCTATCATCTGTTTTATTCTAGAAGTTCTTAAGCACCTTAGTCTTTTTTTATTTGAAACAGACATATACAGTACACTTGCCCCAAACTCTTGGCATGTGATCTCGATGTAAAATGTATTTTATAAAATCTTGAGTTAATCATCTAAACTAAAACAATCACTTGAGCTATCACTTGAGATAAAAAGAATTGTGGATTGATCTGTTTCTTGGGTGGTTTTGATCTGAATGCTATCAGTAGCAAAATGAGTCTAAGCCTGAACAATCTCAATTCTGTCTCAGAGAATTCTGTAAGAAAAAAGAAATAAGGTATTTTTTACCATAGATCAAAATGAAAGTCACCTTTTGCACTAATGCCTTGACCAGGTTGTATGCTTTTTCTTTTATGTCATTGTTTAATGGTTTTGTCTGTATGAAGTTCTTCTAATTCATAACTGTACTGAAACTGAAATGATAATTTTGAGATGGCTTCAACAGCTTGTAGTGCTTTACCGATGTTATTGATTATTATATTGAATGTCAGTTTTAACGTAGCCTGTTATCGTAAAATATTTATGGAATGATGGAGGGAACAAAAACATTGGTTTATGAACTTCTACTAAAATGTTGACATTTTTTTCACTTAAGATCTAGTGCTGAATGTCACAATTCTTACACTTAAAACTATTACAGAGAGGTGTGTATTTGAACAGTTTCCTATATTTTGATTCCTTTGTGTTTTGTGGCACGTGTAATTCTCATTATTTACTTCCTATTTTTCTGAATTTGATTTCCACTCATTTAAGATACATTAATATCTTCAACAGCCGTTCACTCTCGAGCCTGTTAATAGCTCAGGACTGGTCAAAGGTCCCTCAGCAGTTGCTTTTTGAAGATGTTTGAGGGCTTCTCTTCATCACCTTTTGATTGCAATTTAAACTCATGTAAAAATTACAGTCCAGGCTGTGGTTCTAGTTTTGTGTACAGATGGGAGAGACTGATATATACTGAAATTGAGAGCATGACTTTTATTTGGGAAAGGAGACCTGCTGGGGCACTAAGAATTCAAGGATGCAAAAGGCTTGAGCAGAAAGGTGACGATATCAAGAGGATGTCACAGTCCTCAACACTTTGTATCTGGACTATCACGTTTTTCATGCACGTCTTGCTTGTGATTAATGTTTTAGAAAGAGCAGAGTTGCAGGAAATTAAGGTTACTGTTGAAACTTTAATATTAAATTAACTGGAATTAATTCTGCTTTTCATAATTGCTTTTTTTAATAACTGTTTTATATGTAATACTATATCTTTAAATAATATAGCATATTACTTCATTTATCTGTTTCTTTAGCTCTTTCAAATCTATTTCATAAATTTATTTTTGTGCTCTATAGTTAAAGATAAAAAGATCACACTTGAAAACAGTGTACCTGATCCACAAATGAAAATTAGAGAGGATATTTTTATAGAAATGCAGCTGCATTAGACAGAACACATTAATGTAACTGCACAGTCCAACTTTCTAATGTTAAGAGCAAATGCGAGAATATATACATATAATTTTGTTTACTGCAGAGACTAGTTTATTAATACACTCTGATAGGAGGTGTTATCTTTCAGTGCCCCTTTATGATGTGGAGAGAGAAACAGAGCCAAAACATTGCTAGAGCGTCTGGAATCAAATGTATTAAGAAAAATCAGTGCTTCCAGCAGAACCCATGTGGAAAATTACAGTCAAACAAAAATCAGATGTCAAGTCAAATAATGGCTTATGCTAATGCCTGAAATGAGCTCAGTTCTTTTGCACTTCTTTTGCTTGGAATTTTGTTAAGTCCATACTTTCCATGTAACTGCTGCATAGCTGCAGGCATTTGAAAGTATTTTAAATTTTTTTCTCGACTGAACCTGTCTAAACAAAAAAGGAATATTCTGAATTTCAATCTTGTAATTCAGATGAGCTGCTGAAACAGTTAAACCACACAACTAACTATCTTGTGACATTTTAATGGCTTTAGATGCAAAGGTCAACATTCAAATGTGATGTTTGCTTTGTATTTGAGCACTTATTTCATAAGCTTCCATTTTTAGGGATGTGTTCTGCAAGCAGATGGAAACTTCATAGTTGTACTCATTCATGAAAATTCATATCTATATAACTTTTTCATAAGTATTTGTTTTATTGTAAGTGCCTGTTTCTGGGAAAAGATAGATAAACGCCTTAACACCATTTTGCTTCTTGTTCTTTTTTTTCTGCCTTATGTTTTAATATCTGAAAACTGTGGCTTGTTAACTGCACAAAGAATGCTGTCAACTTAAACTGTGGATGGGGCTTCATTGCTCTGGGGCGCTTCCTTCGGGAAGATGCATTTGTGAAAGGAGCAGTAACAAAATGTAGAATAGAGGGAAAGAGAAAAATGCAACATCTTAAACCACTGAAAGCAAACTCTGATAGTTCTCCCCTGTGTAAAATGCTGAATTTTGTCTGTGTTCTGGCTGATTCAGAGCTTCAGATGGGAACCAAGCCCTGCCTGGAGCTGGCAGGGGAGTTATGGAGAACAGCTGAAGCAGGTGCTGTGCTCATCTGACTGCCCTGCCTGTATTTCTACATTGCTGGCATGTGATGCACATTTGGCTATATTCTCTGGTGGCACAGGAGCACTTACATGTCCTGTTCAGAGCCACCATGCATGGGCAGCACAGGCAGCTTGAGCAGCAACTGCTTCTAATGTCTGATATATTCTCAGTAAATGTCCTTAAAATCAAAAATATAATCTGAAGTATACACTACATTGAATCAATGTTATTTTTATTTTAAGTTCATAATAAAGGAAATGAAAAAAAATTTCCCTTCCAAATTGTAAAGAACTTGATATTTTATTAGTGTGAGTTGTTTAATGAGTTAAACCAATATAAACATCTTTATGATAGTATGGTTATATTTATGCTGTGTTTGTTTTGCCATGACTTTAATTCTCTGTGCTTTTTACTAGCAGAATGTTTTGTACATAGCTGTGGCAGTTTTGCTGTGATGTTTGAAAGGTTTACTAAGTATTGAGCAGACTGAAGGGTGGCTGTGTTTTCTCACGTGCTTTTGTTAAATTTATTTGCCTAATGTTAGGTTTTGTCAATAGCAAAAACTGAAGAAAATCAAAATGTATAAAGAAATTTATCAGAAAAAAATGTGTAGTAAATTCTCCCAGTTCTAAGGTGTGTACAGTATAATGACCTGCAGACAATTATAATATTACACAAAAGGAAGTACATCAGGAAACATCTGAGAAATACTGAGTCATAATGTTTTGGTTTTTTTTAATCTTGCCTGCTCATGTTCTGTTGTAGTTCGAGATCGGGTGCGGACAAAAATGGAACGTGATATCCTAGTGGAAGTTAACCATCCTTTTATTGTCAAGTTACATTATGGTGAGTTGCAGAAAAATTCATTTTTATAGCATAGAGTGTTTGTCAGGAAAGCTTTTAATATTTCCTCTGTGGTTCAGAAAATCATAGAACTTTTAGAGTGTTAAGTCCCAATTGTGCAGACTTGCTCTGTAATAATTCTCTTGCAAAAGAAGCACATGACTGACTTCATGTAGTGTTAAATCTTTATAAGACTCTGTAAAACTCTGTAGCCCTTTGTGTTATTAAAAGCAGTTACCTATTAATAACTAGCCATTATTTTCCAAAAACTCTAATCTTTTGTATGATATAAATTTTTTAAGTTATTTCTTACAGTTGCTTTGTTTATTCTATAGAAAATGTATGCAATGGTTGGTGGAAATTAACCTTTTAATTTGAATAGTATGAGCATCTGTAGCACAATACTTATGTGTAAGAGGGGAGGATATCAGTACTTTTAACATGTGGAAAGAAAGGGGAGTTTCTGGTTTGTTTTGGTTTGGGGTTTTTTCAACTCATATTTTTCTTTTAGGGTTTTTTTTTTTCCTATAGTTAAACCTCATGTCTCTCTCACTTTTTAAAGTGGCTTAAGTTATGTACCTTTCATTATTTTATTTGCCATTTTTTTGCAGACTAGATTGTCTCTCTTAAGCTGAGTTTCTAGAGATTTTAAAAAGTTCATTAGTTACTAGTTTGCCCTTTTAAGTCTAGCTTCTTTCTTTAAAATTGGAAATAAAATGCTGGCTAACCTAAGTAAAGTTGATTTTTTAAAGAACTTTATTGGTGATTTGCTTTACTTTCATATAGCATGGGAATTACTTGGTCCATGGTAGAGGATCAGTTACCTTATTCATTTCAATACATTTTCTCTCAAAGGAGAAAGAGAAATTAATTTTAATAAGGAAAATAAGGGTGAATTATTTGATATGTTACTTTCCTAATCATGGATAAAGTTAGGTGATATTTAATTTTTTTAATTGATCTTTTCAGCTTTTCAAACAGAAGGGAAGCTGTATCTTATTTTGGATTTTCTCAGGGGAGGAGACTTGTTTACACGTTTATCCAAAGAGGTATACTTTTTCAATTTGAAAAATTGTCTATTGATAGAATTTGACTATAAATTGTCTGTATTAGGAGAATTTACATTTTAAATTCAGTTTTCATTGAATAAAATTTTGATCTGTTTTTAACCAGGTACATGTTTTGTTTGGTTGGGTTTTTTTGTACAGTCACTTCATGGATGGGCTGATGGCAATTTACATTATTTCTGAAAAAAGTCTTAGACAAGCATCTTTCTGTGCTGCTTTTTATACCTGGCAAAATCTTCTCCTTTTGCTACCATGTTTAAATATATGACTCAGAACCTGGATTTTTATAAAGTAAATTTATGGCTGGCTTTGATATCCAGAATTCAGGGGCAGATAAGATATTCTCTTTTTTTACCCATGAATGCAAAATTGCATTAAGTATGAATATTTAAAAAGTGAGAATTGTATTCTACTTATTTTAGTAATTTTCAAAAAGTGAATAATTGTCTCTATCATGATGGTAAATGTGTCTGTGTAGATATAGGAAATAACTTCAAAGGATTTCATTGCCTCAATTTAATTTGATTATAATTACTGAAATAAATGTTAGTATCTAATGTATCACCATATTTTTTTAGAGTGTTTCTTATCCATTACTCCTGTTCTCACAACAAACATCTGTTGGGATAGAGATTGTATCCAATGTGCATCTGGTAGCATGGACTTGCAGTTGTAGCTGCTTTCCATTTTCCTTTGCCACAACAGTATCAGGAGCAGCTGGGTTACTACTGCAAAGCTTTATTGTTATTAAGAGGAGAGTAGAATGGAATTTACTTTATATGTAGATGTACCTTTACTTCTGTGCTGACCACATAAATTACATTCGTTTTGATGGTGGCATCTGTTTCAAGTTGCCCTTTGTCGTTTGTTTTGCCACAGGTAACTAGTGGGTTATTAGTGCTCTAAAACTGAGATACTCTTAAGGTTTGTAGTTCATTCTTGATTCCCAAAAAAGAATGTATATTGGCTTCCTGCTGATGACTTTTTCACCCTGAGCCACTCACATTTTATAAAATTTAACATGGTTAGATGAGAAATATTCATCATAGGTACCTGAATCTAAGCAGAGTTCATAGCTGGTGAGTGAAAAGGGCATTCTGGATGCTATTAATGTCATCCTCATACCACACTATGTGATTTTGAAATAGATCAGATGAACTGAAAGTTGTTGCTTTTTCCTATTAATTACAAAGGGAAAAGTGATTAATTCAAAGCTAGATGTCTATAGTGCAGATGCTTAAGGTTAGGAAAGATGAGTTCTATGCAACAGTTTCAAATAGCGTAGTGTGGGTGTATTAGCCTACTCATAGAATCTTTTATTATTTGAGCTTTTAAATGTTTCTTATACAGATTTCCTTTCTTGAATATGCCTGCACTAAATATTGGCTCTTTTGTAAAAGTAACATCAGCAACAAGCTATTGCACAAGCTTTAGTATTGCTTTCTCTCATGAAACTACTAAGGAGAAAACATATTCTTCATTCTTAACTCTTGTTTAAAACAATGTTCAGCTTTGCAGAAACAATTTTTCTGCTTTTGCACAAATAATAATTGCCATTCTTTTTTCTGGGTCTGTATGCTTTATCTTAAGGTATTAGTCTTAGATTCTAAAAACAAAGCAAGTAAAATAACTGAGTCACAACTGAAATAGAATCAAATAATGCAGGATCTTTTTCTGCAGTCTGAGAAGAGTTGAATTGTAATGTATTCTGTCAGGAATCACAACAGTTGATATACTGGGTCAATATGTTCATTTCAATGAACATAAACAGTGAGTAGTTTACCTTCCTATTCCAAAAAGCGGGATTGCTACCTGGGATCCTCCCTGTGCTCTTAGACGGGCTGTTCATTTTACTCCTTGTTAACTCCTGTTAGTTTGCTCCTTGATCTGCCTTTCTGCAGTTACATCTCAGGCTGCGCCTTGGGGCTTTTACCATTGCCGTGGCTTCTTTCTCAAGGTATCTAGAACCTTCCAAAATCAAGATACATATACTTTTCTTCTTTCTTACTTCATGGATGAAATTCAGGCATTTGGACTTCTTTAGTCCATTTGTTGTCTGTAAATGAAATGATCCTATCTGACCAAGAGGTAGTCACATTTAAGTGCTTCCAAAGTATTTCAGTTTCATTACAGTGTGTCTGTCTGTTTTCTTGAACAATCAGAAACAGATAATCTCCCAATTTGCAGAAAGAAGAATATATTGCCTTTAAAAGTTCTTTTTCAAGTACGTCCAAGTATTTAAAGTATGAAATAGTGTGGGTTATAAAATCCTAGTTTTTGTGTAACCAAGAAATTTGAATTTTCTAGTGTTTTGTGTAGCGACAAATTCAAGTATTGTAAGAAACCCTTCTGAAAAACCCACTGTTGTTTAGTTTGTGCTGGTGTAACCTGTACAGATTTCACATGTGACATACATTGTGCTACTTTTTCAGGTGATGTTCACAGAAGACGACGTTAAATTTTATCTGGCAGAATTAGCACTTGCTTTAGACCATCTACATAGTCTTGGAATAATATACCGGGACCTAAAACCAGAAAAGTAAGGCTCCTCTGTGAGAAATGCAATGTATTAATTTCATTTCTATAGCACTTCTTCCTTTTTCCCAACGGTTAAACTTTGGTAATTTACTATATAAATTGAACAGAGGGAGGTGGGGGAGGTTTATGAGCTATTTTCATTTAAAAAGTTACATTTCACCTGTCTCAAAAAGGAAAAAGGATCTTAGCTTATGACTTATAGGGGGTTGAGGGAACTTTAAACTCTGTTTGAAGGGGAATGGAGACAAAGCCAGAAGTAAGCCTGTGGATGGCACACCACTCTTTGAGGGACAGTGTTCTACCAAGGTTCTTTGGTCTGCCATAGAGGTAAGGGATGGAGGTCCTTTCAGCAGCAAGGATGAAAGGAATATCAATGTGTTAGAAATCTCAGAAGCAGAAGACAACAAAAAAACATTTGTACAAATCAGCAGCAAAAGGAGGACCGAGGAGAATATCCATCCTTTGTTGGATGTGAGGCGAAACAAAGGATGAAGAAAAGGCTGAGGTACTTCATGCCTTTCTTGCCTCAATTGTTGTCAAGATGCCCAGCCCCCTGAGCTGGAGGACAGATTGGGAGCAGAATGAAACCCCCATAATCTAGGAGGAAATGGCCAGCAGACTGCCATGCAATTTAGAACCCCGAAAGTCCATGGGACTGGGTAGGACTAATACAGGAGTTCTGAGGAAGCTGGTAGAAGAACTCATCAAGCCACTTTCAGTCATTTATCAGAAGTCCAGGTCAACCATAGAGGTCCCAGTCCAGGTCCCATGGATTCCCACTGGAAATTGGCAAATATGATACCCAACCATAAGAAGGGTTGGAAGGAGAAGCTACCAACCAGGAAGCTACAGGCATGTCAGCCTGACCTCATTGTCAGGGAAGGTCGTGGAGTCGTCATCTTTAGTGCCATCCTGTGACATGTACAGGACATCCAGGGGTTCAGACCACGCCAGCCTGGGTTTGTATGGGGCAGGTCCCGCTTGACCAACCTGATCATCTTCTATGATGAGGTGACCTGCTTAGTGGATGAGGGAAAGGCTCTGGATATTGTCTGCCTAGACTTTAGTAAAGCCTATTGTAACATCCAACCCTTAAGGAAAAAGGACAACCCAAGATTTTTAAATGCTCGTGGTGAAAAGGAAATTATATACCTCAAATGGAAATTGGTGTTTTAGTCCCTGGCCTACTATAAAAGCACATGCAGTGAGGTTTAGGTAAAGGGGTAAGATGAAAAGGAAGAGAGAAAAGGTGAATTAAAGAGGGAAAGAGATGAAGAGAGAAAAAGAGATAACCAGTCTTGGCTACAGTGCCAGTCCCACTGGCGGAATATCCAGGGTCCGGGGGAATCCCTGGGCTTGTTGGGGGTTTGTTTTTATAGATAAGTTTCCCTGCCATTAAGGTAAGTTTCTTGTTTTCTATAGAAATTAGTTGTTAGGCACAGTCTGTTCTTTCAGACCTTTTGGAAAATGGGTTGGGGGTCTTTGGGAATATTGGGTGGTCTTTTCTTCCCCTACACTCCATGCCTGCTTATCAACTTCATTCCTGCACTTGTGCTGTACTGTGTTGTGCTTATCTCCAAGAATTAGAACGAGGATGTTTGTCCCGGAAAAGTGCTGCCCTATCTCTGCATGGCCTCTTCTCTGGGCACATCTTGTTCTTTCTCACAGTGTGTTATTACCAGCAATCCTTGCTTATTACTTGCAATCCTTATCTGTTATTACCAGCAATCTGTGGTTGGCCCCAGAGCCAAATGACTTCCAGTGTTTGAGACATACGTGTTAGCCCCTTATCTTCTGTGACTCTATGCCTTTGACACCATTTCCCGCAGCATTGTCCTGGAGAAACTGGCTTCCCATGGTGTGGATGGGTGCACTCTGTGCTGGGTAAAAGACTGATTTATTGACCAGGCTCAGGGAGTGGTGGTGAATGGAATTACATCCAGCCAGAGGCTGGTCACCGGTGGTGACCCCCAGGGCTCTGTGTTGGGACCAGTCCTATTTAGCATCTTCATTGGAGATCTGGATGAGGGTATTGAGTGCACCCTGAGCAAACCCACAGACAACACCAAGATGGGTGGAAGTGTTGATCTGCTGGTGGGCAGGAAGGCAATGTTTGCATATGGCATGGATGGTTCCTGCCATGGAAACTGCAAAGAGGAAGGGAATGGGGTCTGGGTTATGTCTGACCCCCAGGATGAAATGCAGATGGGGGAACTAAATCCATTGTGCAAGGGGAGTTACAGAATCCAGTTCTTGAATACTTTGCATGCTTTGCAATGCAGTGATATTCAGTGGTAGTCAAGAACAGTTGGCATCTCTGAGAAGTGTGGCCTTTCTTGTGATTGAAGTGAAAAGGTGGAGGCCCAAGGTCTGCTCCTAGTATAGGGCCTGTGGGTCCTGTTCTTTGGTCCTACATGGGGATATTTATTACTTGATGTTACTTGAAGTGGTCAACAACTTTTGAAATGGTAATTACAAATGAATACCTGTTACGTATATGTATGAAAACATACCCAGTATAAGAGAAATAGAACTATGTCTCTGGTTTTAACAATTACAGTTGTGCTGCATGTGCTGCAGATAGCCAAAACTGTTACTGAATTTAATAAAATATTTGAATAAAACTCTTGTAAATTTGTTTCTTAATATTTAAAAAGTAAGAGAAGGAAATCAAAATATGTAGTTTGAATGGAAAGTCTAATAATTTTCGTGCATTTTTAATTCTCCCCGTCTTTGTGTATCCTCTACTGTTTATTCCTAAATATTGTCAATATGTTGTCTGAAACAATACATAAGATATTTTAATTAGTTTTTTGTATTCTTTTTATTGTTTTTTAGCATCCTGCTTGATGAGGAAGGACATATCAAATTGACAGGTGAATAAAGGAATTGCAATACTAGGATCATTTCTGTTCATAGTAAAATCTTTGCATTTTCCTGTTGGTAAACCAATATGATAAGTAATTTTAACTGATCAATAATTTAGCTGTGGAAGCAAGTAGTGTAATTAGCTTGAAATAAATAAAATCTGGATATTTCAATAAGATAGCTGCTTTACAAGTATATCTGATGTTATGGGCCTGTGGTAATGTGGGGAGGGAAGGAGAATCCTGTAAGTCCCATATTAGTGTTCAGTTCTCTATACGAATGATAAAAGCCTAACACTTCATATTATGGTAAAAGTATCAACCATGCACTTTTTAAAAAAAAAAATTACATTTGGAAATATTTTTTTCCTTTCAGATTTTGGCTTAAGTAAGGAGTCAATTGATCATGAAAAAAAAGCCTACTCTTTCTGTGGAACAGTGGAATATATGGCACCAGAAGTTGTTAACAGACGAGGCCATACACAGAGTGCAGACTGGTGGTCTTTTGGTGTTTTAATGGTAGGTTTCTGGTAAATGTAAATAATAGCAAAATTGTGATTTGCAAGGTCTGCTGAAACAAATCAAACACTAACCCCTAAGGTGAGCTTTATGTTAATTTTAATTACAAAGGAAGTCTAAATTGTGTGAAATCAGTAACACCACGGTGTTTGATCAAGAACATGGACTAGGTTTCATATCAACACCAATAATATACCATATTTTTATTATAATTTAATTCAAATATTTTATATCTATAGTAGTTTGAATGTTATGAGGACCAAGAGAAATACAGAAGTATACAGAAAAATGCTGTCTATTCCAAAGTGGGGAAGAAATTCATATTCAAATTTTAAATTTGAATTTACATTCAAGAGGAAAAAGGTGATTGGCAACTTTCTAATTAGAATCTATGTTGTAATTACAAGTTAGTGGAATAATGACAACTGTTCACCTGTTGTTCTCACACATCAAATTGATTTAAATTACACTGACCTGGTATGGGATATAGTTTCTCAGTTGCTTATGGTGTTTCTGCAAGGGGTAATTACTGTAAAGTTGCAGGATCAGGGGAAATATTATGTTTATGGAATATAAATCAGAAAATAATAATATATCATGTTTGTTATTTAAGTAATGCTGAAAGACTTTTAATGTTTAAAATATTTGTGTGCATTTTTGACATGGAAATTAGGCAGTTGTATAAAAGTGTTAATTTCTTACTGCTTCTGCTACATAACTGTAACAGTACAACTAATGTGTGTGCTTTTATAGTACAAGAAGGACTCTTGTGTCTGAAAATAGGTCATCCTATGGCTTTATGATGATTAGAATGCTGTTGTGGTCTGAAAACTGACTATGTAAAAGTAGCACCTGATAACTGAACTCTCTCCAGACAAGCGCACACACTCCTCACAACTACACATTTTATCATTAAGAACAGTCAATTAAAAGATAATTACAATGTAGCTGCAGAATATTTGTTGTTGATAACACAAACATAATTAAACTTCAGCTTTAATTTATAAAGCTAGAAAACATAATTTGGTGTTTATCAAGTGGATATGGTATCATTGAAAATTGCTGTAAGATGTTTAGCTGTGATTGGGGTGGCTTTCACAGTCTTAAGTGCACTGCATGTTAAATACTTTGGCTTCTACTTTGAATACAAATATATGACCTTAAAATCCAAATTCTATAAAGTAGTATATGAAATACAGTGCAACTTTTTCTAGGACATATTTTTATTTCTTGCATTTATAGTTTGTAATTTTCATAACCAATCTGTAAGTATCCACCTTTAACTCATTCTTAATTTCTGAGCTGATCAAAAATTCAAATGATGGTTGGTGTGGTATGAGTACACAGTAACTAGAGTGAACAGAAGTTACAGTATAGAAATGGAGACTTTAAAGATACTTCAACAAATCATTTGGCTTCTTTTCTTGTGCTGCTAGACATGAAGTATGCTTAAGCCATTGTTAAGAAATATATTCCAGTTGGTCCTTTAAAACAGTGACAGTTTTAAAGTTTTTAGAAGCACTGAGATACTCTGCTCCTCAAATAAAACATAAGTAGGAAAGGCCAATGTTGGCTTATTCTATAAGTACTATTGGCCTGTTAATGTTGGAATATAGTATTTGGGAGGGGTGACATGTTGAGCTGTTAATACAAATATGTGTGCTTGTGACAAATTAGGAGCTTGTTAAAGAAACTGTATTTCATGCAAGTGTAAGTGGAGCACTCCAAATTTACCTTTTTAAAAAAGTTTTTTTTTTAAGTGCACCTTGTGAAGATCTTTCTAAACCACAAACAAAATTTTTTTTTCTACATACAGTTCTGACTTATCCCTCTCACATCTTCCTGACAGTTGTCTTAGGAGTTAAAGTTAAAAGTAGTCTTTTTTTGTGTTAGCATTATTATTAAATTTAATTTTTTTAATGTACCAGTAAGAAATATTACCTAGACTATATTTACCAGTGGTGAAGAGATGGCAGTAAGAAATTCAAATTTTGTTTCAATAAAATGGTGTTTTAAAGAATATTATTAGTGCAACTTCATGCTCTTATTGTAGATCTACAAATGCTGTAGTCACACATCATTTATTCAAGTTATTCACTCCATTTTTTATGTGTAGGAGGCTGAATGTTTGGGTCATACCAGAAAAGAGGGGAATAGAGGATACCTTGTGTTCAAGATGACTTAAGTTTGCATAAGCTGTGCAGAGTGTTCCTTTATAATTATTTTAATTTTGGTGTTGTTAACTGTATGCCATAAAATTGCATTGAACTAAATTGTTTTGAAATCTTTAAACAAAAAAAATCCAATTTCTGCCTAAGTGCTGGCTGCCATGACTGCTGCCGGACTGCTTTCACTGCCTCACTTAGATCTGATATCCCTGCAGCACACTGCAGTCCAGCAGGAGTGCCTTTATATTCATCTATTTTTACTCAGTCACTTTCAGAACAAATCAGTATTTTAGCAGTGTCTGTTGCTTACTGCCAGGCACTGTAGAATGTGCATGCACGTACTGTGTAACTCTTGCGTGTTCCTTCAGGCTTTATTTCCACTGTATGCATACAGTAACCACTTTTCATCATGCATGTCTTTGTCAATCAGCTAACCTTTTCCCCTTCCCAATGAAGGCTATGTACATGCCAATTTTCAAAATTTTGACCTTTTTAAAAATTTCTGCATGAGGAGAAATCATCACTAACTTCTGAAAGGAAAACCTTTTTCCCTACCTCCTCCCCTTTGTTTAAAACTAAAAATATAGTTGTTCAGATCAAGCCTTCCTAGAACAAAATTTTTAGGCAGAAATTAAACACAGAACATTATAGTCTAAGTTGTTCAGATAAAAAGATGTAAAGCAAGTTACCAATATAGGAAAATATTTGCAGCTTTAAAAATGGCAAAGGCTGCTCAATGTTCTTAGCAATTGAAACTGTACAATGAAGTTGTTTTGCGCAGACTTGATTGTTAGCATGCATGAATTTTGGAAGGTTAAGATGCTAAGTAGTTTTGTCAAAAATTAGTTTTTGTCCAGGTAATGTAATTGATGAAAGTTTTACTCTATACAGTTTGAAATGCTCACTGGTACTCTACCTTTCCAAGGGAAAGACAGAAAAGAAACCATGACTATGATTCTCAAGTGAGTACACTCTTATTTATATATCTCATCAGGTATTCTACAGGGATGCCCTCCGGGCTGCAATATCTAATTTCTACTCCTCCCTCATTTTCAAAGGTACTGGTAAATCCTCACTCCCTATTCCAAATTATTAATTCCCTTTGCTGCCTATCTAATTTGCTTCACTATTCTTCCACCATACCAGGTACAAAGGATTTCATAGCAGCTCTTTAATCTGTAATAATTTCTCCAGCCATGTGATCTCTCCCATCTTATTTCCATAATATTTTTTTAACTTTCTTATCCTTTTTGATAACATGTACATTTTTTCCTTGTTGGGTTTTTTTTTCTTCCTTTATTTTAGGTTTTTGGAGTTTTTTTGAGAAAGTATTTTCACTCTTCATCCTTCTTTATCTTACCAGCTCCTCACCCTACCTCTATATTAATGGTGCTGCCAACAACTTGCCTCCCCAATACTCCTCCCTTCTGTACTCTCCTATGACTCGCCTTAGCTCCAATTTTTCCGTTTGCTATTTTCAGCACAGATTTTGCATTAGCTCTGTTGTGGGAATTACTTTCCTTCATGCAGTTTATGTTCTTGTTTTTGCTAAAGGAGGTCTGCTTTTTTCCTTGCAGTTCCCCATATATTCTCTAAACTAGTACAACCTATGGTGTAAATGCCCCATTTTTGGGACTGTAGCCAAACACTGTGCAAACAAGTCTGTTTCCTCATATCATAGGTTCACTTCTCTGTTTCCATCTATTTTTAACTAATACCATTTTTTTCCATGGAAGTTCATAAGATTATCTTAGTTTTCTCATTTGTTTTCTGCTTCATTGTTTATCATTGTTCTCAGTCCTGTTAGCCACTTGTCTATCCATATATCAAAGCTGGAATTTCTTTTGCACTAAAAAGCCTGTTTTAAAAAATAAATATATGGAACTCTTTCATCTTTTCTCTAAATAATTACAATGTGAAAACCACTAGAAAACATACTCATTGTTTTCCTGGCTTTTGCTTTCATAATGCACACATTATGTTATTCTTTCCCCTTGTTTTTTTTTCTTCATCTTATTTGCAAATATATTTAGTGATACTAATTTCTTCTGCTGCCTCAGCACTATGTGAGATCAAATCTTCATGTTGTGATTACTCAATGTCTTTTAACTAAAAAGTTCTATCTATTCACAGCAAGCATAAACTCCTTCTGACCACCTCCTATTTACAAGAAGTTTAGTCTGAGATAGTTCTGCACTCTCACTTGCTTCAGGAGCCATGCATTTTTTCCTATGTGTCTCATGAGTCATATCTTTCTCATCTCTTTGCCTGCATGTGACTCTGCTCTGTTCCTCAACAGTCTTTTCACTGTTGCTATAAATATCTTCTGTATTCAGCTGCCATGTAGAATATCCTTGCATTTCTCCAGGTAATTATGTTCATAGTCATTCATAGCCCAGAGAGTGGTGCTGAATGGAGTGAAATCCAGCTGATGGCCAGTCACAACTGGTGTTCCTGAGGGGCCAGGGCTGTTTAACATCTGTATCAACGACCTGGACAAGGGGATTGAGTGACAGTTTGCAGGTGCCCCCAACCTGGATAAGAGGGAATATGGATCTGCTGGAGGGTAGGAAGGCTCTAGAGAGGGATCTGGACAGGCTGAATCAATGGGAATGAGGCCAATAGGATGAGGTTCAGTGGGGCCAAGTGCCAGGTCCTACACTTGGATCACAACAGCCATGCCAGGCTTAGGGAAGAGTGGCTGCAAAGTTGCCTGGTAGAAAAGCACCAGGGAGTGTTGGTCAACAACTGCTGAACATAAGCCAGTGTGTGCCCAGGTGGCCAAGAAGGGCAATGGCATGCTGGCCTGTGTCAGCAATCATGTGGCCAGCAGGACCAGGGCAGGGATTGTCACCCTGTACTCAGCATTGGTGATGCTGCACCTCAAATCCTGTGTCCAGTTTTGGGCTTCTCACTATGAGGACACTGAGGTACTGGAGAGAGTCCTGAGAAGAGCAGTGGAGCAAGTGAAGGGTCTGGAGCACAGATTCTGTGAGGAACAGCTCAGGGATCTGGGTTTGTTTATTCTGGAGGATGTGCAGGGGAGGCCTTATTGCTCTACAACTACCTGAAAGGAGGCTGTAGCCAGGGTGGGGTAGGTCTCTTCTCCGTAGTAAGAAACAAGAGGATGAGAGGAAATTACCTCAAGTTGCATTATGGGAGATTTAGATTGGATATTGGGAAAAATTTCTTCATTGAAAGGGTTGTAAAGCGTTGGAACAGGCTGCCCAGGGAAGTGGCTGATTCACCACTGCTGGAGGTTTTTTTAAAAGATGTGGCACATAGGGATATGGTTTAGTGGTGGACTGGGTGGTGCTGGCTTAATGGCTGGACTTGATAATCTTAAAGGTCTTTTCCAACCTAAGCAATTGTAGGTTTCTATGAAAGTGTGCTATGATGTAAAGACATTTTACCCTCTTTGAATGTTCCGTATTCTTACGAATATTATCTTGCATAGAAGTGTTTTTCTTTTGGTCATAAAAGCAGCTGAAAACCAGAAGATATTTTGAAGTGTTTTCTGATTAAGTCCACACTTTTTTTCTTGTCTATGTTTTCTTTTTATTTTTCGCATACGTAGTATATTTTTCCTTAAATTTTTCATAAAACTTTAAAATGGACAGATGTGCTTATGAGTTCTGGTTTCCATCATGTATATTTACAATAAACTGCTTTTCTTACCTTCTGTTCCTAAAAATCCACAGAAAATGCATTCTTCTTACAACAGATTTTTTGGGGGGGTTCTTTATTTCTCACAACATTATCAAGACAAATTTTTGTTTATTCTTGTGTGTTTTACCTAAAACTGGGAAACCCTGCAGTTTGAAGAAATCACGGGTTGCTGCAACTAAGTTAATTTTTTAAACATTTTTCTCCTTTACTTAAGTGGTATCCCTTCATATAAAATTTTGCCATTGTCCATCCAGAATGTCAGAAAAAAATTGCTGTCACTCATGTAGCTGCATAATATAGGACCTCTGAGGACCTGGCAATTGCCTTTCCTTCTCCTCTGTCATGTGCCTGATACAGGATTTTGTGAAAGGTGGCGGTGCATGCCAGTCAGGAACAGTTGGATGCCCCACTGCCCATTCCTCCCCTCCATTGGTGGCCTTGGTCTGTCTGTAGTATGTTATTGAAGAGCCTAAAGAAGCCAATGTTTTTCAGATTTTCCTCCTCCCTGCCCTAGCTTTTTTAATGCTGAAAGGAATGGAAAATTTACTGCGTTCTAGTTTGGAAGTAATGAATAGTGAATCAGTGGCAACACGTATGCATTTACACAAGTGATGCAGAGGTGAATATCTACAAATACAAGAAAGACAAATCAAGTTGATTTGTCCTGGAATACAAGACAAATCAAGTTCTGATTGAAACACAGAGCTTGTGTCGTGGACTGTTACAGAAAAATACAAGCTCCAGGTTGAATTAGTGGTGGAAAGGAGGGAATTATATCCCTGCTTACCATTATCATAGTTACAAGAAAAAGTAAGACCTAGTAACGGTGAGAGAATGAAGGCTCAACATTAAATGGAGAGGAAGAAAATATGACAAGGATTACAAAATAAAATGAAATTAAAGTACAAAAGCTTAAATCTGAAAATGCAAGGCTGGCAAATTGTAAAAGTATTATTTGAAATAGATTGGGGAGGGAAGCAAAAAGGAAAAGAGGAGTGGGTTTTTTTGTTGGGTTTTTTGTTTGTTTTTTTTTACCAGCTGATCCGGCAAGATCTGTCCTACCTTAATTGAATTTCTGTATTCTAGTTTGTTTCCAGGGTCATCTTGGTGTGTGTCATAATGTGGTACTTTTCTTAGAACTTCTATTATGTAATTATCAGAATGCTTTGTTTGGTGTCATTTGCTAGTAACTGGACCTATAAAGTGGATCAAAGCATATTATGAAAATTTACAAGTTTATAAACTGCTCTTCTCTAGCTATTCTTCTCTATGTGCTTTTCCACCTTTTCCTCTACTTAAATATTTAAATATTTTTTAAAATTACTGAAAATACTATAGTACTTTGAAAAAAATTTTAAAAACCCAAATATGTTTACATGACTGACAGCACTTTTCCTCTGTGTCTGATGTCTGAAGGCAATTTCTCAGTGATGCTACTTCATTTATTATGGACTTGTTGAATGGCAAAGGACAGGGGGAATGCAGAGTTAATTCTTACCTAGATACGTTTGTATACTATTAATTATTTTTATTCTCTAGGGCCAAACTCGGAATGCCCCAGTTCTTGAGTCTTGAAGCACAGAGTCTCCTGCGAATGCTCTTCAAAAGAAACCCAGCAAACAGATTAGGTAAACTTTTTAGCAGAATATTTTTAGTTTGTTCCTAATATTCATAACATCAGTGATCATTAAACTGACTAAAATTTTGTTTCCTATGTAAAATGGACTTTAAAAGAAGAATGTAGTTTGCCCTTCAAGTGATCACCAAAGTATTATCATTTCTGCTAGTCATACATCTAAAATTAATGCAGAAGGAATAAGAAATATAATTTTGCTAGCCATTCCTTTTACCAATAAGAAAATAACTCATAGACATTTTTCTTCCTTATAAAAGGAGCAGGTCCAGATGGAGTAGAAGAAATTAAGAGGCATGCATTCTTTTCCAAAATAGATTGGAATGTGAGTATCTAATTAAAATCAATCCAGTAAATTTCTTGGTTAAGTCTTTCATGGTATCATATAACTTTTCCATTTACAATTTATCATTTCTCTTCAGAAATTGTACCGGAGAGAAATTCATCCTCCTTTTAAACCTGCAACTGGCAGACCTGAGGATACATTTTATTTTGACCCTGAGTTTACGGCAAAAACTCCAAAAGGTAAAGAGCTATGAATGGAGAATTTACGTATTCAAAAGACAGAATTTGAATTTCAAATTTTTTAATTCAAAATTTGATAGAAATTGTCTTTACAAACTCAAGGTGCAAAATTTCAGTACTTAATTTATATCTACATGTAAAGACTCTGCTTGTAAGTAGATGATGTATTTTTCAGATTCGCCTGGTATTCCACCCAGTGCTAATGCACATCAGCTTTTTCGGGGATTTAGCTTTGTAGCTATTGCGTCAGATGATGAAAGCCAAGCAATGCAGACAGTTGGAGTGCATTCAATTGTCCAGGTGAGTACATCTAATAAAAAAAAATCAGTGCTGTCTCTTGGTGGATGGATTGTTTCCTTGTCACAGAATGAAGTATCATGAAAAAATCATTGTCATCTTTTAGACAGGAAAAGTAAAGATCAGATTATTTCATCCAAACAAAATCTCTGAAGGTACAGGACCTGTATAATTACCTGAGCCACAGGTTGAAATGGGCTTCAACCTTAAATGAAAACCTTCTACCATCTGTACTGTATTAACTCTTTCATGTCAAGCCATAACTATAAGGTGGAGTGGAATAACAGATATATTAATTTATTGGTTTTTTTCCCCCATACATGAAAATGTCAGTTGACTCCTGCAATGCAGTAGTAGGAGGCACTGGACTGTGATCGTGAATTGTATCTGGATGTTGTGGACTGCTGGAATCCATGGCCCAGGACATATTCTGTCCCTCCTAAGCCACCTGAAGTTAGTTAGCTAATCTCTGCTTTTTGTGGCTGATAGCAGTGCATCATACCAAGTCGGTGTTACAGTGCACACTCAAGCTTTGGCTTCCTTGATGTGTTTGAATGCCTCCAGTAGAGTCTCCCGTATTAATAATTGTGAGGTTGTCACTTGGAAGAGGAAACCTCTGTAAAAATTATATTTCTACCTCCTCTCTCTGCTTTTAATAATTACTGAGTGATGAAAACCAACTCATTATCTAAATTTTGTTGAGAACTTCTTAATGTATAGGTAGGAATAAATGATTGGATTTATGATTGGATTTATCTGTATGATTTGGTTTATTTGTATTTTTCAGTGCTCTGGTATTTTGCAAATGTCTGAGAAAATTTTAAAAAAACCCCACAATTTATACAGAATGTGAATAGCCCTTGTATTTCTTTTAACACTTTCATATCTAGAATTGTCACAACATGCTTTTCTACACATTAGTATTTCATGTGTAATAAATTTTTTTAAAATATAACTTCAGACCCTTTTTTATTCTCAAGAAGCTTTCTGATTTGATATGTGATATATGCATCAGAATTATTTCTGATCCTGGCATCTTGCTAGAAGTTTCTGAAAGCTTCTCTGTGCTCCTTCATTTTCACATAGTTTTGTAGATGGCATTGCTGCTCTTTGTATATGGTTTCCTTCTCATGTAAAGGTCTGTTTCTCTGCTGCCTTTCCTCTGTGCCACTCAATAACTTCCTCACTCCTATTTCCTCTTTTCTGTGCTGCAGGATACCCAGATGGTTTCCTGCAAATGCTTTGCATCCTTTGCACAAACTCCATACACTAGAACACCATTTCCTTCCCTTACAAGAGTGAGCACTTGTCCTCCTTTCAGCTTTCTATTTCTGTGAAAGGAATTTTGACTGCCATTCCATGCAATTCCAGCCAATCTGATTCTATTCAGTATGTCTGAATTTTCCAGCTGGCATTCTGTCTATTCAGATAATAAAGACAGTGATACTTCTTTACCATTGTTGTATTGCTATTTTGTCTTGAATTCTGATTTTCTTCGGTTTGGAGTTTCTATCTTTAAATTAGTAAAGCAGCAATCAGAAAAATAATGCCATAAATTTCTAAAATACAGTGTGCAATATTTACAGCATGTGTAATATATAATTTTTCTTATACTAATTTTGAACAGAAGGTAGTGGGGATTTAGACCACATTGACCTAATAGTGTCATCAGTTAAAATTTTAAGCAAATCAATAGGAATTTTTTTCAAGTTATTTTAATAAAAAAATCAGTTACACATTAAGAATATTCATTAATTGATAATGTTATTTTGGTAGCAGTTGCACAGGAACAGCATTCAGTTTACTGATGGATATGAAGTGAAGGAAGATATTGGAGTTGGCTCTTATTCTGTCTGCAAGAGATGTGTTCATAAAGCTTCAAACATGGAATATGCTGTAAAGGTAATTACTTTGTTATAAACCACACTTTTCAGATTTTAGCATTGGGCATCTTTTATTTGCCACAGAGAAACATAGAGATTAAAATTAATTTTTTAATATAAAAATATTTTATATACAGCTGTAAAAGTAAATTCATGAATTCTCATCTGGATAAGGAATTCATAACAGTCTTTAGTCTGGTATAACTTCCAGAATAAACTTCAACTCTGTTTTGGCTTTCTGGTTTTCAGCAAGGTTTTTAATGTTGTTCTTGTTATTCTGTAGGGCTTTCTAGCACTTCTATGAAGGCATTAAATTCTCAGTTGAAATCAGCAGATTTCCCATAACTGCAATGATAAGGTTTTTTGTCTTTGTGTAATAACGTGGGACCAAATGGTTTCTGTGAAAGCAAGAGTATGGATTAGCAGACTTGATAAGTGGAAAAAAAAAAGCAGTCTTTAAATCCTATTCTATGAGGCAGTTCTCTTTTTGATTTGTTGAACAGCTTACTATTAAATTTGTAAAATACAAAGATAAATTAAGTATGTAGATTGCCTCCTCAAAACCTTCCCATTTCAATCTGGTAGTTAAATACTTGTGTTTATTCTGGTTCTGGCCAGGAACAGATTTGACTCCTGTGCTTTCAATTTGAAGTAATTTCTTGAAACTGCAAGAAAGTCCTGGCATAGCTGGTAATTCCCTACCTAGCTATGACATTTGTTGTGAAGATTCACTTGCTTTTCTATTGCCTCTGTTAGGCATTTTTTTTCTTCAAGGAATCTTGAAAAAAAGAATGAGATACCAGTGTCTGATATGTTAGCAGGGGATGGGTAGCAGTATAGGCATAAGGATGAAGAGGTAACAATTGAAAAGACATTATAGGAAATTCTGCAGTTAAGGAGAGGAAAAAAAAGTAAGAAGAACAAGAATACATTTAAGTAGTGCAAATTATTATTTTGCTTGTTTGAACACGGTGAACTTTAGTGCCAGAGATTCAAATGGACTTTTGTAATGAATGTGTGTTTGAATTAACTCTGAGAAATTTTTACCTTTTCCATTTTTTTGTTCCCTTTCTCTCCTGCTTTGTTTTGCTGCACCAAATGTTTGAGATTAGATTGTGAAAATCAGTTGATTAGCATCATCCAACCAGTATCTTGTGTTAAATTAGGAACTTCCTATTTTATTAAATAATGGATCACTGAAGTCTTATCTACTGAAAAGCCTTGCATTATTTATCACAGTCACTTATCCTCCAAAATCATTTTTTAAGGAAATGTTTTCATTTTTCCCGACATTTTTGATTTGCCTTGCTTTTCCAATTTAACAAACTTGGTTTTGGTTATAATCCATGCCTTTTGCAACAATAAATACTGCTTAACTGTTGATGCTAATAAGCATACCAAAGCATTACTCTAGATTCACAAAAAGAATTATGCCCATGCCTGTATGTGCTCTTACAGATTATTGACAAGAGTAAAAGAGATCCAACAGAAGAGATTGAAATCCTGCTGCGCTATGGACAGCATCCAAATATTATTACCCTGAAAGATGTAAGTAGTGTTTTAAAGACATCCTTCAGTGTGTTACAATTTTGAATCATTTCTAATTTGAGATACGAGAAGCTATGTATTTTAGATTTATGTTCATGTTTTTCAGTATTTAAAAATAAAACAATGCAATTTATTCAGTAGTATCTAATTTTTTACTGGGATGTCTGTGTTTTCTTTTAAAGATGCATATATTGTCGTACAGTGTTATTCTAAGGAGTCAGATATTTCATCCTTCATAAATCTTAGCACAACAATAATTTATTTAATGTTGGCTGTGTTTTTAAAGGATCAGGGAGTCTTTTTGATTGCATAGTTAACTTTAAATCTGATTTTCCCTACATTAATCGAAAGCAATTTTAATGTACATTATCATATAACAAAAGACTCACTGTTAGCACAGTACCCAAAGTCATTTTCATGGACAGTAGCAAGTATTACTCAGTAGTAGATAAAAATCTTTCCATGTCCATGGTTTTCACTCTTTTTTTATCTGGCCTCTGTATGAACACTGTCTAGGTATTTTTTCCTTCTATTGTTTGTTCTGACCATGGAAACACTTTGTCCATAAAATGCAAGCAGTAACATAAGCTGAGAGGTAGAGCATTTTCATAGTGAACAGTATATTCTGATGACCTAACTGAAAAAGGAAATTGTCTTTGTCTCCTTGGTTATTCATTAAAGAGGATTAAAAATTAAAAAGGCGTATGCTTAAGGACTTTCTTAGACTGCAGGGAAATATTCTAGTCCCCCAAACCAAACCTCAGGCAAAACAGCAAACCATTTCCAGGAAGCTGAGCTCAGCTGAAAGGAGATTGTCAGACATTTTGAAGTCATTAAGACAACAGCTCATAAATACCGTGGAGATGAGCACTAGAGAATTCTGCATGAAGTTGGTCTACTATAATCTGTCTTCACTTTATTGATATCATACTGTTTGGCCCTTTCTTGGACAGAGAAAATAAGGTAGATATTCAGGGGAGCCCACCAGGGAGCTTATCTTACTGTAAGCAAGACAGCTTACAGTCCCACTTTCTGTTCTCTTTCATGTGGTTGGACAGTAAAGCTACTTGAAAGGAGCTTTGCTGGACAGAACCTGCATCAGCATTCATGGTGCTTTCAGTGCTGCATGCTGAGCTCATGTGTTACTTTAATTCATACACAGCTTATGTTATTTAAACAGGAGGACAAGCATCAGAATGTGAGCACTTAACCTGAGCTTAAGCATGATGAATATTTTACAATGAGAACAGAAATCCTGTCAGTCTTAAACTGCTGCAATATATGCTGAATTATTTCACTTGGTAATTAATCTTTTATCATCATCAGTCATCTTCCAGCAGGAACCATCTTTCATGCACAGCAACAGCAGTACACAAATAGGAAACTAGAAAAAAAAAAAAAAGCCTTAAGCCCACAAAGGGAGAAAGGCTGTAATTCTCACTCACTTCTGCTTCAGATCAGTTCCCCAAGCAAAATTATGAAAGGATGTCTAGTGTAAGAAAAGAGATCTAGAATTCATATATAATAGAATCTTGTATAAATATGTAAGAATTTGACATTAAGTTTTTCTTGTCCTAATACAGACCCATGGGGCAGATTGTTTGCATATCCTGCATTATAGTGGTGTGCTATTACAGCTTTCAGAGAAGATAAGGAGAATTTTGCCTTCAGGTCTCCAACTCTAGAGCACCATGTACTATTATAAAAATAAAACTCATTGTTGATTTGCTCAATTTTTCATTCAGACCCACATCAAAACTTAAATGTTTCTAATCTGAAATGCCAAAATAAAATATTTCAGCATTTAAGTGCCTGCTTTGGAAATTATTATTCTGCAAGAAGTAATTTCTTTCTTTTCTTCTATTTTAAGAAGGAATGTAGTAATATTTGAATTTTGCTTAAGATGGAAATTTTCATTCTTGTTCAGCCTTTTTATGTAATTTAATTCTGAAGGTGTTCGGATTGAAACAATGGATATTCAAGAGACCAAATTCTTTCTGCAGTGCACAGTCCTCTGGGGGTTTTCCTTCTGATTGTTATCAGTGGTCTTTTTCAGTTACATAGTATATAAACAAAAGGAGCTATATTGTGCTAATTCAGATATCCTTCTTATCCAATATCCTGCCTCTGACAGAGGCCCTTAGTGCATGCCTAGGAAACAGTGTAAGAAGGGAGGAAGCACACAGCTTCCAACAAAACATTACCTAGAAACTTCCTGTGCCAGACCATTATAAGTATTTTACCCTTTTTGTGTAATAGTTACTGTTCTGTAACAGAACTTCTGTCCTGCTTTGAGTTATTTAAAGCATTGCCTGAAGAGTATTTACAGAAACATTTTAGAATCCTGAGTACAATACCCAGTCTCCCTGTCCAAGTGCTTATTTATGATTTCAAAATACCTCCTAATGTGTCTGTAAAATCTTTCTTCCCTTGGCAAAATCCTTGATTTCTTTCTCCTTGCATTATGTTTTGTTAATACACCTACATTTGTTTCTCACTATTGTTTCTTCCGCTTTACCTTGTAGAGAAAACATAATGACTGACCTGTGGCTTGTGCTTAGAGTTAATTTTAAAAAGTAGTGTCACATTTGTGACCTTAGCATGATACTGTGCATCTGTGAAGAAAACTTCATCAGTATTTATTCAAAAACAATTTAAGTTGGTAATTCCATTAGAGGAATTGGTGCAAGGGGAATGGTTTGTTTGGAGTGAGTTATCTGTGGGGTTTTTTGGCTGGCAGACAGGGCCAGCAGAAAAAATAGTAATCAAATGCAAATTTTGCTTGAATTCTGCAATCCTGAGATGTGTATGCTCTATCATGTCAAAAGAAATAAGCTGAACTCCTCATGTTATATCAGGATTAGAGGAAGCATGCCTATTAAAAAAAAAATTCTGTTTAGAATCTAGAATTAGATAATTCTGCTTATGAATACTGTGTAATATTTAAAGTCTTAATACAAACAAATTCAGCTGCTCAATCATTTATATTTCATGAGAGGAAACATTCCTGTTAAATGAGAATAAAGAAGCCCATCATTTCTTCATCTCCTTGAGATCATAAACTTCTAAGGCCCACAGAATTATTTAACATTCTTTTTTTTATTTATTTAGTGAGAAAATAAATCACTTTAGTATCGTTAGGAGAACAAAAATTTTGATGCTTAGAACTTTATTAGCATGTTTTTCCCAGGTAGCTTAAGACCAGGGAATTGGGATGAAAAACCTCTTTTTTTATTTTTATTTTCTGTTACTTAGCTGATATCTATTCCTAAATTATTTTACTATAATTTTGATGATTGTTTCTACTTGAACACATTTTCACACATTTTACAGAAAATAACAATTGCAACATCCCCATAAAAATAGGTTGAAATGATTAAAGGGAACAGTCTGTAAAAAATTTCACTAAAGCAGGAATTGTTTCTGGATTAAGTTGGAACTTGCAGGCCAGGTTGGATGGGGCTTTGAGCAACCTGATCTAGTGAACCATGCTCCTGCCTGTGGAGGAAGGCTATGTCTGGATAATCTTTAAGGGCACTTTTAACCTAAGCCATTCTATGATTCTGTGAAATGAAATGCTGAAGTGTAAGTACCTTAAAATGTGCTTTGGTATCACTCAGTCTGTAGTGCCCTCTGGTGAGAATGTAAAGAATTCTCAAATGCTTCCCTGGATGATAAAATCCATGCAAAAATTAAGCCATTTTCCATGACTAGAAGTAAGGGATAAAATATGCATATTTTAATACTTTTAGACTTTGGCATAGGCTTTATGTGGAGAGTAATGTTTAAGTTTTAGGTTTCTATCATAGCAACTTTGTATTCACTGTTCATAGAGGTTATTTGAGATAAACTTAGATTTTTTTTTCCTTTTTGTTTTTTTTGTCTGACTGTTGGAATGATCTCTGTTTATATTTTTAATTTGGTGCAAAAATTGCTGCTTGAACTAGCTCTGGTTTTGCCTTAATTAGACTAGTTTCCATTTTTACTACTTAATTTCTCATGTCTAGTTTCCTTTGTTTTAGTGAACCTGTGTGGAGAAAAGTTCCTGTTATTTATCCTTTTATCTTTAAACACTTTCATGCTAGTATTTCTATGTTATTTTGGTACAGCATTGCCTTTTTGTGAAGATTTTGTGTTCACTTCTGCAGATGAACAACATTTGGATATTGTGTGGGTTATGAAATACAGGGAAAACAATTGAAGAAATCAGCTTGTGGACACACCTGCACTATATGTGCTTCACAGGAAGACAGCAGAAAATAAATATTTTGAAGTTTAAATTTTTGTGTACTTTTTGCAGGTGTATGATGATGGAAAATATGTGTATGTAGTAACAGAACTTATGAAAGGAGGAGAACTGCTGGATAAAATTCTTAGGCAAAAATTTTTCTCAGAACGAGAAGCTAGTGCTGTTCTGTTCACAATAACAAAAACGGTTGAGTATCTCCACACACAAGGGGTAAGTTTTCATCTCAGACAAAATGTTTTTAGCTATTGATATTCTTCTCTTTCAGAAACATAAACTTGATCTTGATACATTCTTCTGTGTTGTAATTAATTAGTTTTTGGTAAACAATTACATTGCAGCAGGAATTTGTGTTGAAATCAAAACCTTCCTTATCAGCTCTGTATGTGTTCAGATAACTGAGATGATGCAACTGTTTCTGTCGTTCTTCATGCAGTCTGTCAGCAGTTCTGTGGAATATGCAGATAATTACTAACAGAGAGGATATGGGGGGAAGAAAGTCCAGGAAGAAGTGCTAGGACCAGGGTTGTTGCATAGCCATGGGACCTAATGTAATTTCAATCTTGTCCTGTGATATACCCTGAAAATTTATTTTCCACCTGTCATACTTGTAATTCCTTTGACTTCTTGATTTTGAAGAACATGTTTTATGACTTGTAACTCCTGTGCCATAGAGTCAGGAACTTGTAGGAGACAGAAAATTAACACTTCGGAAAATTAATACGGAGACAGAGGAAGTAGTTCAAATATAGAGGAGGACAGTGTGATAATTGCGTGGCAAGAAAGACAAGTTGTGTTGCATTTTTAAGTAAATAAGTAAAAGGGGATGGAGAAAAGGCAGAAAATAAGGGTGCAAGGAAAAAGTCAAACTACTAATACGTGATGTTGTTACCCAAGAAAAAATGCTTTGGAACATATAGTACTCATTATTTTAAATAACAACTATTCAATACACACTGTTGTGTCTGGAAGCTGTTACTGCAGAAAACTTATGATCAAAGTTATCTGGTATATCATTCCGTGATTCATCACTCCAGTCACTTTCTCATGTGTGTGGTTTTTTGAGCCTGTGTGCACAGATTATAGTCCTTGGCCAGCAGCACCCATGGGAATTATGATCAAACCTCGATACCTCTGTATGGAAATACAGATAATAGAATAACAAATCATAACTTGGTTCATTCTTGCCACATGTGGCTAAAAGAGGCCCAGAGTCCTTGCATCAAGTAAGGGATTTTAGGGGTTTTTGTATCTTTAAAGACTGTAGATATCCATAAATATTGGCATTTTAATTTGTATTAGACCACACGCACTTTGGAATGTTTGCTTTTGTAAATTTTCAAGTCTCATATTAAGTACACCTCCATAGGACAGTTGGCCACATATGTAAACAGTGAGCACTTCAGTAGTCTAATTCTTTTTTGGAAGAGTTCCTCTTATCTTCAGTGGATTTTCCTGTTGAAACTCCTTTGGACACTGGAGGAGCTTATTTGAATATGGTATTAGGTAATATCTGGTTTGACAGTCTCTGCATCTGTGTGCAGTCTCCACAACCCTTCCCAGGAAGGGTTTCCTCATGGACATTCATAAGATACCTCTGAACTGAGAAACTAGCTAAGCAAGGAATGAAATCTTCAGGGTAGGTAGTGCTTCCAACGCTCACCCAAAGCATTCTAAAAGTATGAGGGCCAACATACAGTGATTAAGAATTGGCACAAGAGATGTCTTAAAACAGATGAACAAGAAGCGCCATGTCATCTTGGAGCAGCAGACTTGGGAATGCTGGTAGGTAATTGAGACTACTGGTCAAAAGCACAATGCTAAGAAATAAAGAACTGAAAGTTCCTGCATGTTATTTTGCTCTCCTCTGTTGCTCTAAAATAAAATGTTATTTCTACACAAAATACCAACATAATCTAAACAATGTGGCAATTTTTAAAAAAACTATATTTTTAAATATTTTCGGCATTTACTATTGGGAAAACAGCTTAATATAGGAAGGGGTTTCACCTATTCTTTGACATAAACATTTTGGTTGCTTGGGAAGTTGTGTTTTAATTTGAACTGCACTGTTACACTGACTTGTTCTCCTACTTGAGCCTTGCTTCCCCTTCTTCCAAAAAAAGCATACAACTCAAGCAGACTGTTCTAGAAACTCACAAATCCTCAGCTCTGTGCTGCTTCCATTGCTCACTTCTTCCTTTCTACCCCTTTTAGAATCTCTTTCCAAACCCCCCCAAAATTCTCATGCTCCAGACACCACAGAGCATCAAAACACTGCAGCTGATGGTGGAAGCTGAAACTGAAAACTGAGCACGCTGATGGGAGACTTAAAATTAAGTAGCGGAATTGCCAATTAAAATTAAAAGCTTTTCACATGTTTAGCTTATTGTATTTAATGGGGTTTTTTTGGGTTTTTTTAGGTTGTTCACAGAGACCTGAAGCCTAGCAATATTCTTTACGTTGATGAATCTGGTAATCCAGAATCAATTCGAATTTGTGACTTTGGCTTTGCAAAACAACTGCGAGCGGAAAATGGTCTTCTGATGACTCCATGTTACACAGCAAATTTTGTTGCACCAGAGGTAAAACCCAGGATAGTTTATATGCCTTGATATATTTTACTGGGATTTTTTTGCTGGATAGATTTTTTTGTTGTTGTTCTTGTGTAACAAGTAGAATCACTCTCTAAACAGTAAAAATTTGAAATTTTACTATTCTTATAGTATAATCAAAGCATTTCCAAGCATTTTTTCAGAAAAAAAATATTTGTCTCCCTCAGGTTTTAAAGAGGCAAGGTTATGATGCTGCATGTGACATATGGAGCCTTGGTGTTCTACTTTATACCATGCTCACTGGGTAAGATTATAATTTGCTTTGCTGTAGAATACCAAACCAATACAAACAAAACCAGTAATAAATGTAGGCCCACTATTGCAGATGTTTCTGTCGAAGCTCTGATTAATCTCATCTTTGGGGTTGAGAATATGATTTGCCTTCAGTAAAATCCAAGTTTTCAGGGATTAATGTGAAAAAATCTTTGCTTCTAATGTCTCCTCTATTTTAGGGTTTTAATTTCTGCTTAAAGGTGATTTTGCACTAAAAATATATTGTTTCATGTGAAAATTAAAAGATAGATTAAGCAGCATATATATTGAAGAAAATATATGTTGCAAATACTATTCCAGTGCATTAAAGTATGTTTGTGTGCAAAATCCACCCACTGAATGTTTGAAGTGATGCTGTTAGAATATAATAAATGCAACAGAAAGGCATTCAACAGAAATGAATTGTGTAAGAGATAAGGAATTCAACTATAGTACCAGAACTTCAAAACAAAATCTATTTAGCAGATGCAATAGCAACTATCTTTTTATGCTAGGTTATTCAAATTACCACTTTGGTTAAGAGTTAACATCATCAAATATTTTTCTATTTTAAAATAAATAAGCGACAAACATACTTGGTTTTAAGTGTATCTTTTTTGCTTGGGGGCTTCTGATAGCAGCAAGAGTATGTATAGTCAAGCAAGGAAAACTGGTGCACCCTTCTTCCTCTGGCATTAAACCAGCATTCTTTCTCAGACATATTGATTTACAACAGAATGGATTGGCTTAGTACTTCACTAGAATATGAAAGCTTAAGGAATACTTTGTGTAATTCAGGAACCAGCAGTATTTGAACTGCTATAGCAAAAATCTGCTTTTCAGACCAGATACAGGGGGAATACGTGCAATAAGAACAGATCTATAGTCAGTGCCATGTATTTTCATGTGTTAAGAATAAATTATTTTTTCAGCTGTTTGACTATTTGTTGCCTATAATTATGTTGAACTTGCAATCAGATTTATAATACTGAGACCCAGGTTATGGAAGTTGCTAACATTGAATTTGTTTGGTTAAATAGCTACACTCCTTTTGCAAATGGTCCTGATGACACCCCAGAGGAGATTTTGGCCCGAATAGGAAGTGGGAAGTTCTCCCTCAGCGGTGGTTATTGGAACAGTGTTTCAGACACAGCTAAGGCAAGTGTATTTGCTTTTTCTCTTGGGGGATCAGGAATGGATTGCAATGTAACATTGTTGATTATAATGTATATGTTATATCAGAGACGATTGGCTAAGTTCCGCCCATTGTTATGTTAAAATACTGATCTAATCCCTTATGTGCTAGAATTTTGTTTCCTGGTTTTGGTCTGTTCATGTTTCAGCAGTCACTTGCATGTAGGAGGAAAGAACAGGTGCGACTTACGCTGTAGCAGTTAACAGCTGTCCTTAGAAATGTAGTGTATTCTATCAGTATTCACACACAGAGTTATCCATGGTGAGAAGTGCTTTCATAAAATTTCATGTGAAAGCATGACATTCAAAAATCGTACAGGTAGTCTTGAGTCATGATAAAGAAAACCAATGAGGTATTACATTTTTGAGAAGTCTATTTTTGACAGGAAATAGACTGAACTTCAGTGTGCAATATCCTTTATGCCCCTTCTATATGGATGCTTAAAATGCTAAAATTTTCTGTGTTTAATTGGATACCTTCCTTTTGTGTTACATTGTTAGCATTGCTGGGTGGTTTTTGTTTTAAACTAACATGATGAACATATTTTTATACTTCTAGAATCTTTTATAGTTTTGAAGTATTAATCTGTTTTAAAGTTGAAGTTCTGCTATTTCCATTGATCTTTGTTGACAGGACCTTGTTTCAAAAATGCTTCATGTTGACCCTCATCAAAGACTGACTGCAGCCCAAGTTCTCAGTCACCCCTGGATAGTTCACTGTGACCAGTTGCCTCAATACCAGCTGAACAGGCAGGATGCTCCCCATTTAGTGAAGGTAAGCTGATACTTTTTCAGCTTGCTGTTTAGCCAAAATTAATGTAAACAAAAGGGTGTTTGTTTATAAGGTTCGGGGTAGCATGTGTTTCTTCTAAAAACTGAAAAAGTTGTTACAACTGGATGTTGCAATAAGCCATAAAATGAACTTGAAATATGTAATAGGATTTAATGTGAAACCACTTACAAATGATAAATCTAATACATTCGAAAAAAAAAATTTTTTGTGTTTGAAATCTGTTGGGCTTACTTACACTGGAAGGCTTAAGTGCTTTTAGAAACCAACCTAAATCATTCTTCTCTGAGTGAAAAATGTCAGGTGACTATAGGGGAGCTGTAAAATTGTTTGCTAACTTTACCGTTTCAGAGGAGGGTACTTGGCCAGTAACTGAAGGAAAACAGAATACTTTGTGATCACAGTAAAAGCTGAAGAGAAGTCAGAAGGGCAGTGTTAATTACTATGGTGTCACACTTGTGCACTCTGTCTGAAACAATCTGGAACTTTTTCACTTTGAACAAGCAGAAGAAGATCAAAAATAATTCAAATTCTACTTCTTTGTAGTAGAACCTTGTTTTCAGTCCTACTTTCAAGAATCTCTTGTGTGACATAAAAGGGATCTGAAGAATATAATTAACAGTCTCTGAGTCAGCTATTAGAAAGTTCTAGCATCCAAAACACAAGTGGGAAGTGGGGGAGTTCTATCCCACAGCTCACAACTTTCTAAATTTTTTTTTAATTAATTTTATGTGCTGAATAATGTGGGTGATTTTTAAATATTTTGTTGGAAACTGAAATGGTTATGTAAGTGATAAGCAGAGACAGTCTACCAATGGGATTTCATTCCCCAGCTCTTTCCCACAACATAGTGATAGAACTTAATTTGGCAACCTACTTATACCTTCTGGGTTTGACTCTAAGCAATGTAAAACTATTTATTACCCTAAAAAACACTCGCTCCTAACACTGCTAGGACTTCAGTAGTATGTTTCTGTTTTGTAGATGAAAATAGACTGAAAGTTGAAACTTGTTCAAAGTTTCTGGCATTTAGCACTGCTGTAGTGTGCATCAGTCACAACATACTCTTACTGTTCTTTTCCCCTCTACCCTATAGGGTGCAATGGCAGCAACTTACTCAGCTTTGAATCGTAATCAGTCACCAGTTTTGGAGCCAGTTGGCCGTTCTACTCTTGCTCAGAGGAGAGGTATTAAAAAAATTACCTCAACAGCCCTGTGAAATGACCTCAACCGGACACTTGGTACCATGGCATAAGATGATAGCACAAATCATGGCGACAGGTAGCACATATCTGACAGATACCTGCAAGCACACTCTGTCCCAGCTGGTACCTATAATGCTGCTGCTCCTGCTGCTGCTACTGCTTTCATCTACTCTCGCTTTAAACTGTTGATGGCAAGTTACTGATCTTACTGGAGCTGCAAATGGAGTGACAAGTGGAGACAATGAAAATTACCATGTTCGCGACTGAGTAAACCAGAAGAATTACAAACGCCACCTCTGTCAAAAATACACTGAATAAAGCACTCTGCACCACATAGCATTATTTTTATAAGGAATATTTTTTTGTCCCCTAAAATATTCTTTGTTACAGGTCGAGATGGACAGTTTATGTTAAGCACTTAGCTTAAACAATCTGTTTATATTAGCACTATACATTGTGCCATCCAACATTTTGTATGTTTTTGTAAACAGTTCACATGCAGTACATTTCTGTGCTGTTTTCTTTAATGTATACATGCCTTGTTTTACTTAGATATTATTAATCATTATGACAAGTAAGTCTGATTAAACAGTTCATCTGGATAATCAGTATTGTTGGACAGCTCTAAAAGAAGCCTGACTGTTAAACAGCTATTGAATGTAATACTATGGATAAGTAGTTTTCCTTGCCTGTGTCTTTTCTACATTTCTGTGTTTTTGATGCCACATGTCATGTTATGAAATTTAAACAGTGAGTCTCTCACCATACTATATATCCTTTAGGTAATGTAACCCAGAGAAAAGATAACTTGCTCTGTATCTCACTGTCTTTGTTACCCCTCCCCTCCCTTTTACTCTCTCCCATCTAATCTCTGGACTCAGGAATTATTGCTAAATACTTTCTGATAGAGGACATTTCTATATGGTTTATTCTTATAATCCATTGTTAATATTTTATCTGTATTCTATGACTTTTGTTTAAGCTGCAAATGAATTGTTCAGTGAATGAATGTTGGCATTATAGAAGAGAGGCAACATTTGAAGATAAAGCAAAACATATTGGTCGTAATAAGCAGCAGCCTGCAAAGAGTAGATTTAAACTGCATTCATTGCAGTTGCAAAACTGATGGATCTAATGTTCTGTCAGTTACTTTCTGATAATTTTAATTGACTTCAAAAGCAAAATGAGGGGCAGGACATAAAGATCTGTTTGATTAGAAAAGGGTCATTCTAATTTACCATGAAAATAGTGTCATCCCAGACAGGTAAGATGAAGCCATTCAGAGGGAACTTTCTCACTTTTCCACAGATGGAGGTGAGTTGGTAATGAGGGTGGAAGACTCACTTTAAATACTGATACAAACGTTTAATATTCTTGGCCTCTTGGTATCTAAAGTAATTAAAGGCTCGTCTTGATGGCTTGTCTTGAAAAGATGAAATTTCCCAAATGAGAAGGGGCACTGGAATGTGTTTGAATACAGTGAGTGTTCCATTCCACCAAAATTACAGGCTATGTAAAGTCCTTCCAGATATGAAATGACTCTTGGGAATTCTAGCTTTAATAAAATATGGATCTGGGTGAATGGCTGTTGGTGAACAATGCCATTTTGTGTTTTGCATAAGAAGGTATTTTGTTGGCTTAGTGGTATTAACTTTCTTTTACAGTAATTAATTGGCTTATTTCCCTGAAATCATAAGTGGTTTGTTGAAAGGAACAATAATCTTTATGACACCACAGATTTGCTCTGGATGGGAGTGTTTCTTCTGCCAGAATTTTTGAGTTCCTTGGGGAAACTTCCTTTACTAGATCTGCAAAGGATCCCAGTTTTATTTGCCTTAAAATTTTGCTAAATATTTAATCCATTATATTATTGTGAAGAAACTGGTTTTATAAACAAGGATTTTTAAATTAGCCTAGCTCCCAGAAATTTGAAAACACAGCTCTTCCCAAGCAAACAGTATTTTTCCCTTACTTGGTGCTCTGACATTGAAGATCCCTTTAGCTGTACAGATGCATCTACCCTTCCTTCAAGGAACATTTTTAAGTAGAAGAAGAAAAATGGAAAAATGCCATCTTTTTTTTTTTCTTTTTTTTTTTTTAATGTCAGCAGCTCCAGAGGAATTTATTAAAACCTTACCTCTCAAAAAATGTATTTTTCAGCTCTGTGAGCAAATTTAAATCAGGCTTCTCAAAATCTGGAAACTGTACTTTCTGGTGGCTTTTAAGGTGTTAATTAGAAGATTGTCATATCTAGTCAACCAAATTGTTTAAATGCTGTTGAAATAGAAGGATGGCAGTACTTGCCAGTGTGTCAGTAATAACATTTCACTTCAGGAAGGAGTTCCTACTCTGTTCAGTGTGTGTATATAGGTACCTGGCAAAGAACAGACCAAAAAGAGGAAGTGTTAAGCTGCCTCACTATTGGCAATATCCATATTAAAATAATATAAAAATACTTTCAGTAGTTTTATTGTAGCCTTATTTTATTGTTCTCAAGCTCATTAGCCAAATAGTGAAGCAAAGTCAATTCCTGCATTTTATGTATCTACACTCTCAAGTGAGCTGTTAATTTACTCTAGACTTTACAAATGTTGCTATTAAGTTGTGTATATATATGAGCAGAGGATGAACATTTTAAATTGTAGCAAAAGAGGAAAATTTAGCACACCCTAAGCTGAATGTGTTGAAGTCTAGATCCACTATATTTTCAAGTTACTTTCTAAACCAAGGTATAAAGGGCCTGCTAAATCAGGGAGGTGTATTTTACAGCCAGGCATGGTTTATGTACCTTACTTCCTGGTTTGGATCCATGTTCATGACTTCCACTTTTTTTTTAATGTTTTTATAGCTGCAGTTATTATAACCTGTAAAGAAATCCACATAATGCTTCTCTGAGTCTCAGCACTTTTCTGTTAGAATGTGAGTTTATGGCACACTGTGTACATGCATTGCTGGACTGCTGCTTGATCTGCAAAGCATAGCAAGTGACTCAGAGTCATAGAGGATAAAAAAGAGAACGCAGATCCAGGTGAATTTTTCTATGTGTTGACCATGGTTTGTTTTTAATTTTTTTAGTGTGAAATTACCATTTACTGTGCTTGAGAGCATGAGAGAACAGAGGGAAGAGTGAAGTTGCAATACCCATTAAATGCCATCTGTGTCCAGTAATGGCAAAGTTCTGTGTTCATTATCACTATAACATTGAGTAAAACTTAAAAGGAGTTTTTCAAGAAAATAGTTAAAGCTCTTCTCTGAAGAGACAAGGCCATAAGAAAATAGATTTACATGTCTGGGATTTTTGTGTGTGTGTGTGTTTTGCTTTTGTAAATGTGGTGTTACCAACTAAAGCTGTGCTTTTCTATTACTGGAAGGAAAGGATTCAAAGTGTGCTGGCCCTTACTAAGCAGCAGTGGTTAATAGATGAATTTTCACTTATGAAAATGATGTAAATGATTAGCTTTATCTTGATACTCTTGACCTAATCAAAGGGAAGGTGTACTTATGAGGGATGTAATTATTTTGCAACCTAGTTGGGGGGGATGTCTACTTAAACAATTTTTAAAAAATTACAAAATCACAGATAAAATATTTTTCTACGATTCTATACAATCATACTTTATACTAGTTTTCTCAGCATGGCATGTGAGTCTAAGGTACTGTTCCAGGAAATCAGTGGTATTGTACCTTGTTCTAGACCATTACAATAGCATCTGTTAGATGCTTGGCACTGCTGTCATAGAACTGAAATGCTAGTTAAAAAAAAATTAATTGTACTGAATACTTTAAATGATTGTTTTATTCAGAGTCTGATCTAAGAGATGTTCCAATCATGCTATTAATGTGTAATTAAAACTGTTCCAGATGTAACTATGAACAGTTTTGGAAAGTATCATTGCTTGTTTTCCTGTCTAATGGCAGGTTTTGTAGTCTTCAAAAGAAATTGAAATTTCTACTATGAATAAACTTTCAAACATCTTAAAGGGTTGTTTTGTGTAATCATTTGTTCTGACCAGTTACAAAACTCATTGCTTGTTCATCAGTTACTCTGAACTACCTTCACAGCACACTGAGTGTGCTTTGCCAGCCAGAAAGGGTTTGTAAAAATCAAGTGTCCTGACATTGCAGCATGTTGAGGAAGATAAACATGGAGACAAAGGAAAAACTCCTGTTCCGATGGTGCTTATAGGCCTGATACAACATACAAAGATCACACTGCAAGGATATTGTATTTAAAGACCCTGTCAGATTCCAGTCAACTCTAAAGTACCACTTAACGGGAGGCTGCTATATAACATTTGCAATGCCTGCAGTGCTCTGGACACTGAAAATATGGGCATGTTGGATAATTAATGCACTTTGTAAACATTTGGAACACAACAGTATATGCAGAAGCACTCCATGCCCGTGTTGTAACAGCTCATACAACTTGGAAGCTTACAGCTGTAATTCTTTTTAACCTTGCAAGGTGGAAAAGATGAGATTTTCAAAGGTTGCATAGTGTACAAAACATAACAGTAATTGTGATAGAGGATTTGTGAGGAATGTAACCAGAGGTTTTGCTAAGTGTGCCAGAAGAAAGGCATCAGGTAGCATGGAGTGTTGCATAGTGTACAAAACATTACAGTAATTGTGATACCAGAGGTTTTGCTAAGTGTGCCAGAAGAAAGGCATCAGGTAGCATGGAGAGGTTTGGTAATGGATATGGGGCAAGGGTACTGTGATTTCCTCAGTGAAATTCACACCTGCGATCAGAGGTGTGCATAGCTGTGGCCCTTTGTTCACACAAGGCTTTATGCTGCTTGGCTAAAAACATTTTTAAATTTATTTACAAGTAAACTGGATCATTTGTAAACCTCCAGAAACTCTGCAAAGGCAGAAAGGGGGCCTGCTATACCACAGCTCCTGCTGTCAGCCTTCCTCACCTTCGTACCCTTTGATTTACAGAATCATAGTATAGTTTGTGTTGGAATGGAGCTCGAAAATCATCTGGTTCCAATCCCCTGCCGTGGCAGGGACCCCTCCCACCAGAGCAGGTTCCTCGGGGCCTCATCCAGCCTTGCCGTGAACACGCCAGAGCCGGGGCATGCACAGCTCCTCTGGGCAGCCTGTGCCAGTGCCTCACCACCCGCACAGTAAAGAATTTCTTTGTAATGTCTCATCTAAACCTACTCTCTCAAGCTGAACGCACTCCTCCTTGTCCCGTCACTACGAACGCCTGTAAATAGGCTTGCCCCATCTTTCCTGGCAGGTACTGCAGGTACTGGAAGGAGTCATCCCTAACACCGCTCCCCCCGAGCGCTGTGCGGTGTGCCGGGGCTGCCTGGGTGCGCACTGCCCGCTCCTCCTCCTGCTGCTTTTCCTGCACTCCACCACAGAACGCCTGGCAGCGCCCAGGCGGGGCCGTTCCCGGGGCCGTTCCCGGGGCTGGGACGGGGAGCTGGCTCTGGGCGCGTCCTGCGCTTCTGAAGTCCTCCGGGCCGCGGGGGGACGCTGTGGCCGAGTCGGCGCAGCGGCCGGAGCGCCGCGCACGAGCCCGCGCAGCCCCGGCCCCGCCGCTGGTCCCGCCCGGAGCCGCCGCCGAGCCCGAACCGCCGCCCCCGCCCGGAGCCCCTCCCGCCGCCCCTCAACGCCTGGCAGTGCCCAGGCGGGGCCATTCCCGGGGCTGGGACGGGGAGCTGGCTCTGGGCGCGTCCTGCGCTTCTGAAGTCCTCCGGGCCGCGGGGGGACGCTGTGGCCGAGTCGGCGCAGCGGCCGGAGCGCCGCGCACGAGCCCGCGCAGCCCCGGCCCCGCCGCTGGTCCCGCCCGGAGCCGCCGCCGAGCCCGAACCGCCGCCCCCGCCCGGAGCCCCTCCCGCCGCCCCTCCCGCAGCCCCTCCGCGGCGGAGCGTTCGGCGCCATGCCTAAGAATAAAGGTGAGTCGTCTTTTCCCTTCGCTGGGCCCGCGGCGGCGCGGTCGGGCCCGGGCGCGCCGGGCAGGCCCGGGGGCCCCTCACGTGGGCGCCGCCGGAGCCCGGAGCCTGCGGGCCGAGGGGCCCTCCCGCCAGCCCGGCGGGTCCCCGGGCCGGTTCCGCCTGCCGGACGCGCGTCGGAGGCCGCCGAGGCCCGGGCGGGAGCGGGAGGCCCTGCTCGCGGCTCGCTTGTCAGGATCGGCCCTGCCGAGCAGGCGGCCGGGCCCCTCCGTGCCCTCGCTGGGCAGCGCTGCTGCCGCTTCCCTTGTTTCTTACTCCGGAAAGAAACGCAGAAACCGTGAGGGAAAGGGAGCTCAGATTTTAACAGAGGGGCAAGTATGAGCTGCTCTTATGCTCTTGGTGAAGATCATCTAATCCTGTTGCCACGTGTGTGCCTTTTAAAAAGGGCAGCTTCACTTGGAGGGTAAGGTTCCTCTTGAGTATTTCAGGGATTTCAGCAGCACAGTAACTGAAGTTATTCGTCTGCTCTTGAAGATTACGTGCATCAGGCTATCCCACCGTTATTTTTGAGGTATTTGGCAGCAGGGATCACAAGGTGAAAATGGCCATCTTGTGAAAATCATTTTGAAGGCTGCTGTCGCTCCAGAGCAACCAGGACAGTTTAAACAGTGGAGAGTCTAATGTTTAATTACTTTGTTACTACTCAGCTAAAAATTTAAACTTAAAAGTAAGCAAAAAAACCAAGACCTGGGTGTGATGCTTAAAATAGCCATTTAGAGTACAAGCATAAAAATCTCCATAAGTCTGACTCTTGTCACTGGCTGTATCTAGAGACAGTAACACCTACTTTTTACTTCTCCCACTTAATTTAGGCAAAGGAGGTAAAAACAGGCGACGAGGTAAGAATGAGAATGAATCAGAAAAAAGAGAACTGGTCTTCAAAGAAGATGGGCAAGGTGAGTTTTTAACTATAGTATGGCAATGTCCTTGTTTTCAGTCACATTCTGTAAGTGGCAGAAGAGAGAGACGTATTCTTATTGGGGTTGTATTTGAATTCCAAATGACATATTGAATGTAATAGAAAGACAGTAGAAGTGAAATTTTCAATATCTGCAGTGCTTAAGAACGATGTTTCGCTCTCCTTGACCTTAGTGCATGCTCTGTATAAAATAGCACTTAAATATTTCCTAGAAACCTCATGATAGCTTTGTGTGAGGGTCTGTGAGCAGCTGGCTTAGCAGATGTGGTTCAGTTTTGCCAGTAATTGTTGCTGGGATGCACAGTCCCACTTTCTGCTCTGAATGGACTCTAACATCTCTTGGCTCCTTCACTGAGCTCCCTGAAGTCACTGATGTGGCAGAGCAGCTCATCTCACTGTTCTGTCCCCTGATGGTTTGGTCCAGTTGGCTCCTGGGCTGAAGTCTAGCAGTTATTAAAACAGGAGGTGTAAGTGGGATGCTGTCTGGTGAAGTAAGGCGCAAGAGAGTTCATGGGGGATGTCTGGGATTCCCATCTGCCCTGCCTTGGGTGACACTGAGCTCACCTCCCTTTCAGCTCACCCTGTCTTGTGTGTCGCACTCTGGTGGTTGCTCACATAGTGGGAGTGCTTTCCTAGTAACCAATAATCAGTTGGTTTGTTACAAATATGGGAAGGGTACTGAGTTAAATCACTGTAGAAGTGCCACTGAACAAATTTGTGGTATTTTGTGTTGGTTGTAAGCAGAAAAGGAGTTTCTTTTTTGTACATCTGTAACTTAAGATCCTTTACATCTCCCAAGCAAAATCTATTTAATGAAACATTATTCTCAGTTATGAACAGTCTCATGATTCATTGGACTATCTAATTTGTGTGAAGTTCTCCAGTATGTGATATTTTGTAGCTTGGTAAGGGAGAAGATGAAGTACAAGGTGAAGAGATTGAGGGTAGGGTTAGAGAGGTGCTTCATAGACCTCAGCTGAAGCCTGTTGTTTGCCTTCCAGACAGTGTCTGATAAGGGTTATGTCCTTTCAAGGACAGTGGGTTGTTGTCCGCCGAGCCTCTGCAAGAGGGATTCAGAGTCTCAGTGGGTGGCTATACACAGCATGCAGCTTTCTCCTGCCTCAGTGACAGCACTGAAATGTTGTCCTTTAAGACAAGTGCTGTGATCTTGTCATATACTTTCATACTCTGAGTGTGACTCAGTAGCTCTGAGGTTTTTTGTAGCAAACATTTGAGAGGGAACAAAAGGGTGGATGCAACCAAGAAGGAGCAGTATTTGAAAATGTTAACATCAACAGTGATACAAAACTGTGATACATTCAGCAGCCTGTGTGGGTGCTTGAAGCTTCTGTCAGCAGTTCACTTTTGATAAAATATTACAGCAGATTTGGGTTACAGTAGAAAAGTTACTGGTTGTGTCTTGAAGCTGGATTTGATCAGAATTTTTGCTCTGTGGCACTTTGGGATGTGACTTAGTGGTGGACTTAACCATGCTGGGTTAATGGTTGTACTTGTTGATCCTAAAGATTTTTTCCAGCTTAAATGATTCTGTGTTTCTGCTACCATCTTTTTCAGAATATGCCCAGGTGATCAAGATGTTAGGCAATGGAAGACTGGAGGCATTATGTTTTGATGGTGTGAAGAGGTTATGTCATATTAGAGGGAAGCTAAGAAAAAAGGTAATTCTGAAGCATTGCAATAGGAAACAGTGATGTTATGCACAATATGTAATTGTAAAAATTTACCTATGTAGGTTGTTACAAAAATGACTATTTCTACTGCACTTAATATTTTAAACTGCTTTTTTTTAATTGTAAACTAGTCTGTCCTTCTGACACTAGAATAGGCAGTCTTTGGCTCTTGGGTGAAGCTCACAGCTGGAGGGCTGCCTTTCCATGTGCATATTTCAGGGGAAGGTTTGTTCGGCTGCTTATGAAATACAAGCTTTTCATATTCTAGAAAATTATACATACATAAAATAATAAAAATCTCCCTAATTGCAGATGGGGAGCTTGGTGACTATTTAGAAAATACACCTCCAATGCCATTGTTTCATTGTCCACTTCATCAATGCCCAAAATATTTCT